GCCACATCCCCAGGGCTGGATGGCACCTGCGGCCCGTGGGCACCGCACCGGACAGCGTCCCTCTCGGCAGAGTGACGACGCGTGTGTCTCACCGACGAGCAACAGTGCAGGATAGAGCTGTACAAGGCGCCGCGGGAGAGCGGCAGGGCTTGTGCCGCGGAGGGGGTGCGGCGGGGACTCCCGGGGCCCCCGGGGAGGGCTGACACAGGAGACTGGGCAGGCAGGTGGGCGCCCGCGCAGGACCCCGGGGCCGGAGCGCCTGGCCCTCCCGGCCCGCGTCCGCGCTGGCTGGGCTACTGCCCCAAGGAAGCCACGGAGACCCCGCGCGGCAAGGCGCCCAGCCTGCTCGGTCACCCGCACGCCACCGCCCTCCACCGCCTTCCACCGCCTGGAGAAGGCACGGGGGTGGGCGGGAGAGCGGCAAGAGGCTACTGGGAGAGGAAACGAGCACACATTCCCCCTGGGGGTGGAGACAGCGAGAACAAGCTCTGGGGACTGAGGGTGGCAGGTCATTAGCATCAGTTTCCTTGGAAGGACCTCACATAGCCCCAGGGGGCTATTTCATGAACAAGTGTGCAAGCAGCTGGGGGGCGGGGAGCCCGGGCGCACCGTGCAGGGACCACCCGGCTAGTTACGCTGAAAGTGCGGTTTCACCGCAAGATTCGTGGAATGACAGCGCACCATTTTTGAAAATGGAGAAAACAATTACTCAAAATTACGTGATCCTAATCTATTGGCCTGTCCGTCTCTCAGCCTCTGCCATCCAATACCGTGGTCCCACGTACTATTCAAATCTGTATTCATCAATATTCTGCAAAATTTACAATTCAGTGTCTTGGTCACATTAGTTACGGCTCCCGGGCGGCAGGAAGCCAGCAGCCACGCCTTGGATGGCCAAACCTGGAATATCTCCGCCCGGGAACCAAGTGTTGGGGGGCAGGGCCGCCCTGGGCTGCCTCGTCCATGCGTGGGGCCTCTCCATAGATTTTAATCAAAATGTGCATGTAATTCACTCCCTGCTCTGGTTTTGATAGATTATGAGTTTCCATGTGACCGTATAGTCTATAAACCCTGCACACTCTTCCATTGGGCTGCACCGAGTTTCTGAACCTTTGCCAGTGGCGGGGTTCGGGGGGCACAGGCTCTTCAGGAAGTCAGAGGGTGGCCCCTCCTCAGAAAAATGCAGGCCCCAGAGTGCACATTCAAAAAGCGGCATGAGATTCAGGGGCACAGGACCCCAGTTAAAACCCTGTTCTAAGAGATGCATCACAATTCATTTATCTCCTTCTCTGCAGTGGACATTTTAGTCTTTTCTGTCTCCTTTATAAAGAACACCGCAGCGAACATCTTCACGCAAGTGCGTTTCACGTCTGCAACTCACGCTGCGTCTGAGGGCGCGCTCCACAGGAGACGCTTTGGTTCAGCCGGGAGGAGCCAGGCCGGCCACCAGGCGCGTGGCGGTCCACACGGCGTCGACCCCGGGAACGGGGGTCCTGTTCTGTCACCGCCTCGCCCGGCTGGCCCATGAGACCGGACCAGGTGCCTCTCAGGACAGAAACGAATGACGTGCTGGCCACTGATCTCACCTGGTGGTCCCACTCCCCTTCACCCCAACTCGGAGCCTGATTTCTGACCTCACGGGGTGCGGGGCTGGGAGCCGCAGAAGCCAACCCAGAGGGCAGAGCTCAGCCCCCCGTGGGGGAGACGCGGTGACACCGAGGTCCCCTCGTCCACCATCCCAGGAGGCTCTGAGCTGGCATTGGGTCAAGGATGTTGGGCGGTCACGGTGTCGGGGGCTGGGAAGGCAAGTAGCCTTGCCATCAGGGAAGCAGGCCCTGCCGGCTGCACCCCACAGGTGGCACAGGAACGGCAGCGTCCTCTTTAAACACTCAGCCTACCTGCCACTTGGCGAAGCGTTGTGGGGAGCCCCCTCAGTGGGGGCTGCTCTTCCTCACCCATCCCCGGCCACACGCCCAGCCTCCATGTGCAGTTCTTTGGTTCTGCCACTAGAGGGGTCCCGTGAGCCAGCCTGCCTTCATCCCCTCTTGGGGACCCAACTCCCAGTTAAATGAGGAGACTTCATTCTGGGGAGCAGGTTTAGGCTCACGCTTGTCCTGAAAGCCAGTCCCCTTGACGGGGGTCTGACCTGGCCAGATGCCTGCAGGCCAGGACCTCAGGCCAGATGCCCTCTCTGCCGCTCCTGCCTCCCTCTCTTTGGCACCCCTCACAGCAGAGCTCCTGCCCGGCCTGAACCCTGGGAACCCCCGGGGGCCCAGACATTGCCCTTCCCTGGGACCTACCCCCGGCAACCCTGGTTCCATTGGTCTGGGCTTGGTCCAGGCCTCAGGGTTCACAGGCTGCCCAGGTGTCCCCATGAACAGCGTGGGTTGGGAACCTCTGCCTTGCGGTGCCAAGGACCGCTGGCCCTTTAGCCGAGGGTCTCCAATCCCATCACCGCGTGGGCGCTGCAGGGGGTGAGGGGGCAGCAGAGGGTCTGCAACGCGGCGGGAGATATAGAAGCAGTGGGCTGCGCGGCCCACCCAGTGCCCAAACCTGGCTCCCACTAAAGCCTCCGCGAGACAAAGCAGGCCCCAGGCCGCGCCCCCGCCCCTTTATGAACCCCCATCTGCGTTTTCCGAAAGCTCCACCACCTGCCGGCGCGGCGGGGCGGGGTCTGGTGCGCCGAGCTGGCCAGAAGGGCGGCTGCAAGGCGCTCCTGGGTCGGACGCGACGGGGTCCTCCCCGTGTATGTGCCCGCCCACCACGCGAGCGCGAGCACCGGCTGCTGGGCGGTTCTGCGCAGACCGGCGACCCCTGAACCAGGCTGCGTGGCGCAGATCTGGAAGGCAGAGAGAGGGTTGCCAAAGCGTGGTGGCCGGAGGGGCTTGGCGAGGGCAGGCGGGCCCGCGCCCGAGGGACGCCACCCAGCGGCAGCTTAGGAGTCGGCAGGCGGTGCAGAACGGGGGCCCCGATCCAGCTACTGGTCAAAGCCGGTGGAATACCAGCCAGCAGGGAAAAGGGAGCCCTGGTCCACGCGCGACGTGGACGGACCCTGCGGGCGTGGTGCCGCGTAAAAGGAGTCAGACACGGAAGGCCCCGTGCTGCGTGATCCCACGGATAGCAAAGTGTCTGGAACGGGCACATCCGGAGGCGAAGGACACTGGCGGGGCCTAGGGCTGGGGAGGGAGGTGGGGGTCACTGGGCGGGCACAGGGCTGCCTTTTGTACTGGAACTGGCTGGAGGTGGCGGTACGCAACCCTGTGAAGGCGCTAAGTGCCACTGAATTGTACAGTTTAAAATGGTGACGTCAGCAAACTTGTGTGTATTTTATGACAATCGAACCAAGACGATGTCGCCCGTCCAGGGCCCACGTCTGTCTGAGGCCTCCAGCACCTCTAGGAAGTGCTCAGCCTCAGCACCATGGGCTCGAGCCGGATCACTCCGCCGGGGGGACGGATCACTCCGCCGGGGACGCCGGCGCACAGTGGGCCGGGTGTTCGGCGGGATCCGTAGCCTCTCCTGGCAGCCAAGAGCACACCATCCTCGGGTGTGACCGAAATGCCTCTGGACATCGCCACATGTCCCCTGGGGCAGGACAGCCCCGGTGGGAACCACGGTCCCCGGAATTGCCCGGGCTCTGGACCGTCCACAGGTGCCTGGGGGCTCTCAGGCGGCTGGCGCGGAGAACCACCAAGCGCGAGAGAGGGGAGGGCCCAGCAGTGGGTTCTCAGGGGGCACCCCTAACACGGACATTTGCCATCCCGCCTCACGAACGAGGAGACAAGAGGCTCCAAGAAGGTAGGGAGCTGGCCCAGCCTCATGCACCGCCCTCCCCTCGGCCCCTAGTTCTCAAATCCAAACCCCTTGGGCAGTCGGGCTGCTGAACCGGGAGCCAAGCAGGCCAGGCGCTGGTTCTGGTTCTGCCGCTATGTCCTCGGCCACGGGGCCGACAGCCAGGCCTGCCGCCTCTGCGGGGTACAGTGAAGACAAGAGCTCGGGCCTCTGTCCCTCTGCCTGGCCCCGGAGGGTGCGGGACACCCACAGGTATGGCAGCGCTGGTCAGGTGGTGCCACCAGGGGAGCTCTGAGGCTCACGGGCAGGACCCAGGCAGGGGCTTGTTTCACTGGCGGCCTGGTTCTCGGCTGGAAACGCCCCACAGCCCGCGAGCCCCATCGGGCACCCTGACTTCTGGGTCACAGCTGGCTGCCCCTTTTACGTGAATGCTTCAGTACTTGGGACAAATGTTATCAGCTCACCCTTGGGCTTTAATGAACCACCATTAACTGAGGATTTGATATCAGAAGAATCCATCTCAAATTCCTTCTCGCTGAGGCCGGCAAAGCGTTCTGTGTCCCTACACCCTGCCCTCGGCTGCTGGGCTGATGGGGACCCCCAGGGACTGCGTGGGCTCCGAGTCTGGCGTGCACCCAGCTGGGCGGGAATCCAGCCTGGCTAGCGTTCGGGGCCAGGTGGCCTTCCTGGGCCTTACTTCCACTCCCTGCCCACAGGGGGCGACATCCGGACCTCCCTCGTAGGGTTTGGGGTGGTCGTGAGCGCACACCTGGGGCCGTCCGTGCCCTCCCGACAGACCTATGTCAGGGCTTGCTGTCACTGCCACCGCCGTTGGCCTAGAAACCTGGGACAGCAAGGACCACGGCCAGGCCACGGGGAGGCGGCCCTGGCTCTGCTAGGGTAGCACCAGCCCGCTATTCGCGTGCCTGGGCACAGCCGCCTCTGTGGGGCGCTGAGGACCCTAGGGACACTGGCTGGTGGCTGTGACAACCACCCCCTATCAGGCCACTAAAGGCGCAATACCCCCGGGAGGCATAAAGTGACAGGACCCCAACGCCACAGCCCTGGCGCGGGGACAGTGGCATCTGCAGCAGAGGCAGGACGGGACGCAGGCGTCCTCATTGCTCAGGGAGCAGAGCCGGCGGCCACACATGCGACGGTCCCCGGCACGGCCGGTCAGAGAGCCCAGGACCCGAACGGGAACTCACCCGCTCTCGCTCTCCAGGAACACGGAGCCGCTGCTCTCGGCCAGGGCGGCGCTGACGGGCGACAGGCAGAAGGGGGAGGAGAAGGCGTCTGAGTCCGAGTCGAAGGAGCTGTCCCGGCTCACGCCCTCCGCCGACAGCTCCAGGGAGCCCTCCTCCTCGCCGGCCTCAGGCCGCGGCTCCCGCCCCTCCTCGGTGCCATCCTGCGAACTGACCGCGGACAAGATCCCGGAGTCGCTGTGGGCCGGCTGCGGGCCGTCCATCCCCAGGCCCCGGGCCAGCTTCTCCCCGTCCTCGGGTGAAGGGCTGACGTGCACGGCATCCCGGAGGCTCTGGGCCACCCCCAGGACGTCCTCGTCCCTGGGGGTCAGGGTGGGCCTTGGCTCTGTGGGGGAGGTCGGGTGGGGGGCGCCCGAGCTCTGGGTGCGCCGGCCCCGCAGACGGGGCGCCTTGCGCACGGGGGAGCTCTCGGGGGTGATGTAGCGCAGCGCCTCTTCGTCCTGCCTCTGGATCCGAGAGTTGGGGACCCAGGCGAGAATGAGGGTGGTCCCCAGCAGCTCATCCTTCTCCATGTACAAGCACAGGTAGCCTGCGAGGGGGAGGACAGCGGTCAGGGAGGGCCGCGCACGCAGGGGGCTTCAGACATGCCTGGCCCCACGTGGAACATGCGGGGACAGTCGGGCTTGGGAAGAAGGGAAGGGCGGGAGCGGTGGGCGTTGCTGAGCCCACACACTGAGCGGGTCCGGAGCGCCGGGCTGAGCCACGGCCTGTCGCCTGCTTTTCCAGGCGTGGGAGCCTCGCGCATTCAGAGCCCTGCCCTGTCCCCTGCCTGGGGTCGGTCAGCGCCCGGGGACCAGGCCCACAGCGTCACAGCGCTGTTCAGGGGGCGCAGGCTGCAAAAACAGTTCCGAGAGGGGTGGCTGGCGTGCGGGCCTTTCCCAGACGCAGCGGCTCTCCTGGTGTTTTTCTCCACAATGCAGCGTTTCGCCAGAAGAGGCCGGCTGCCCGTGTCGCGCACGGGGTCGCTGACAAAGGGCAGTTTCTCTGAGGCTGGCAGCGAGTGGGTGGGCTTTCCGGGCTCCTGAACGCTCAGTCTGGGGGGACCGGGGCATTTCTGTGGCAGTACCTGTACCTGCCACTTGGGGGCATCCTGATTCCCAGGCCTTTAGCACAGGTCCCCCGGCCTCCGAGTCTCTGCTCTGAAAAGTCGCCGGGGCAGGAGCTGGCCCCTCCATCCCTCAGGGCTCTGGCCCCACGCGTGGCTCCCGTTCCGGAAGGGCTTGGGGCTATACCCAGCTGTGCAGAAGGGGTGCAGCCAGGAGGCCAAGGGTGTCCACACTCAGGCCACGTGGCTTTGGGACAGAGGACCTCGGTCGCCCCATCCCACCACCTTCCATCATGTCGGGACTAAACCACGGGCTCTCCGAGGGCCACGCTGTTCCTCCTGTTTTATACCCAGAACATGTAGCCCCTTCAGACACCCCCAGAGTTGCCCGGTCCCTGGTCAGGTGGCCACGGGGTCAAGGCAAGGGCAAATGGGGAAGGGAGGCTGGAGCCTCTGATGCTGGGCTGGTTGGTTAGGGAGCTCGCCGCGGGCCGTGTCCCCCGCTCCCCCAGGCCTGGGGCTCCGGCCCCTCCCCCTCCCCGGGCGGGGCTCACCTGGGTGGTGCTCGCCCAGCCCCTGCAGCCCCTCCGGCGGGTGTACGCAGACGTTGTTCTTGGAGTAGATGATCTCGCCATCCAGGACGGAGGGGGACCCGCTGCCGCCACCCGGGGTGAGGGTCAGGAGGTCCGAGGCTTTGGAGGAGGCCCGGCGGAGGAGGCGGCCCAGAGACATTGCCGGGGGGGTGTTCCCATCCTCCGCGCACTGGGGCCCAGGCGGGGCTCGTCCGCACCTGCCTGGGAGGGGGATAGAGGCAATGCGTCTGGGCCAGAGGCCAGGGACTCGGCTCGCGTCCCTAGGGCGTGTCCTGCCTCCCACCGGCCAGCCCCAAACGGGTGCTGGTTCAGCTACTGAGCAGGTCTCAGCCCAGGCGCGGTGGACGTATTGCACATGTCCCCTGGGGACAAAGCAGCTGGCCCCTGGCTTAACCTTAACCACCTTCTGGGCGCGTGGGGCGGGTCTATTGCTCTCGAACCCAGTCACCACCGGCCCCTCTCCGGGAGCCTCCCTGGCAGCTCCAGGCCGAGGGTGTCTCTCCCTCACCTGTTTTTTTCTTTAAATTTTTTTATTGAGGTGCACTTGGCACCCGCTAGTCCGGGAGTTTCAGGCGTGTAACGCTGCGATTCAACATCCGCACGCTGCGATCGCTCGCTGCCCCAAGCCCAGCCGCGGCCCCCCGCTGGCCGCGCGGACCTCGTCGGCGGGCCCGGCTGCCCTCGTCCCACCCCCGGCACGCCGCAAGCCACGCTGGCACACGGGACAGCCACATCCTGAAACTTTTTAAAAAATCGCACCTCGAAATACATGTTGTCCTTCCAACGAACCATCTGGAAAAGCTACATCCTTCTTTTAGTGATAATCCCATTGTCGGGAATATTTTTGAAATTCGAGGATTGGTCAAGTGCCCCAGGGTCGGTTAACAAGCCACGGGTGCCCCCTCACGGGCCGCACGGGCCCGCAGAACCACAGCGCGGGCCACGGGAGCAGCTGCCAGCCTCCTGCCGGCCACATTCGTAAGAAGTGAAAAGAAATGAGAGACATGAATTTTATTTTTAAATAACCCGCTGCATCCCTGAGAGTGTCATTACGGCATGTAATCGATACCAAAAAATTTCTGATGAGCTATTTCCCATTCGTTAAGTGCCCAGAGTCTGGCATGTGTTTTGCACGTAAGACGCCTCGGCCCTGAGCGGCCACGTTCCACGTGCCCAGGGGCCGGCGGCAGCCTGTGGGGTGGCGGGTCCGCCTCCGTGGAGCCTCCAACAGCATCACTCGGCTTCATCTCCATGAGGGGCTGCACACAGCCTCTGCTGGCTCCCCGAACTGCAGCCTCTTTAAGTGAAGATGCTTTGCCATCACTGAGGATAATCAAAAGAATGTGCTGGAAGGTCTGAAGGCAGCTCCCAAACGCAAGTGCTCGCATTGTGGCGGTTCCAATACATCGTCAGACGTGACCCTCCCCCAGCTCTGGAAGTCACATCCCAGAAGCGCTGTGTTGCAAACCAGGTGAGGGGCGAGGGGCACCCGAAGCCGCTCGGCGATCGGACACCCGCGGACCGAGTGCCCTGTCCTGCGACGGGAGGGCCCCAGCTGCCCCCACCCGGCTCCAGCGGGCGGTTCTAGGTGACTGCGCACCTCCGGGGACACTGGGGCAGGTCTGCGAACCAGGAGCCACAAGTACCTACTTTCATCAGATAATTCCCCTCTATTTTTAAAATGCACTTGTTCGTCTGGGAGCCTATTTCATCCAAATTGAACCTGGGCCCCAAACCTCTGGCCTCTTTAGAAGTGGAGAATCCTTGACCTAGTTTTTAAAGCTTTTTTCAAAAAAATATGAAATGTGCTTAGGAGTCTAAAAAAAGACCACATATCCCTGCAATCACACAATCCAAAAATATTTGTGTATTTTCTGCCCCCTTCTGTGCCTTTCCTAAAAAACAAACAAGAAACACCGCTCACTGGGTTTCTGCCACACTCGCTCTTACTCATCTCAAAAATACGCCATCCGGCCCTGGCGGCGGCTCAGTTGTTTGGAGTGTTGTCCTGTACACCAGAAGGCTGCAGGTTCAAGTCCTGGTCAGGGTGTGTACCTAGGCTGTAGGTTTGAGCCCCAGAAAGGGCGCGTACTGGAGGCAACTGATTAATGTTTCTCTCAAATCAATAAACATATCCTTGGGCAAGGACACAGTTCTCAGGTGTTCAGGCTGAAGTGTGTCCACCGCCCCAAATTCCCATGTGGAAGTGCTGACCCCCAGGCCCTCCCAGCGTGACCTTATTGGAGACCGGTTGTCCCGGGGGTGATCGAGTTAGAGTTAGGTCCTGAGGGCAGGCCCGCATCCCACGCGACTGGCACCCTTTCAAAAGAAGAAGCCTGGAGACAGACACCTACGCGCAGGGACGCAAAGCCGGCCGCTTACAGGCTGCCTACAAGCCGCCTACAAGCCGAGGGCGGGCCCTGGAGCAGGTCCTTGCTCCCAGCCTCAGTGGGACCCAGCGCTGCCCGCACCGTGGTCTCCAACTGCTGGCCTCCGGATCTTCGGGGCCATGGATCCCTGATGTCGAAGCTGCCCGGCCTGCAGCGCTTTGTCCGGCAGCCACGGAACACGAGCGCCCCACGTTAGCACCAGGTTAAAAATACCAAGTGCAGCCATTATCACCGCCGAGCGTGCAAGACGGGGGCACGCCATGCTTCCACTGGCCTGCATCTGCTTTCCAAACGGTGGCTGTGCCACGAATAGCCTCTCCACTGTTACACACAGACCTCCATCCATGTCCCTCTACCGCCCCGGGGTTATTTCCGGAAGCTGTGGAAATAACTGCCGTGGGTGGGTACCCGGGGCCCCCGACAGAGCGCCCAGTGGATTTCCCAAGGGGCCGGCATCATCAGAGGCTTGAACCTTGGCCAGTTCGGTCACCGAAAATGTTTTCTGATGGTTGATTCACGCAACGGCGTTGTCCGGTGCTCACTGGACATCCGTGTGCATCCGGGCCTTGCTTGCTGGCGAGCCCTGCCGACGCTTCTGCTGGGGCACGGGTCCGCTGCTGAGACGCGAAAACTCTTCCCGCAGCAGAGGTCTTAACCTCTGCTCCGGTCGCTCCTGCACTTCCCAAATTCACCGTTGGCCTTTTGACTGTAGTATCTCCTTCAAGTACGTCTTAAACGTCTACGAAGTGAAATTGATGGTAATTTTCCCTGATGATTTACTTTTTATTACTTTTATATTTTCTATCATCCTTCCCAAGCCAAGATCCATTTACCATTGGTTTATATCTTCCTATTATTTCAGTGTTCCGTGAAGGACATTGGAAATTTCACAAGTCCTCATTCAAAGGGCACGTTGCTCCGCAAAGGCCGTCCGTCTCAACGGCAGCGTCCGCCAGCTCGAGTGTTTCATGGGCTTGTGTGTGTGCCCAGCTTCCTGTCAGACGGGAATGGGCATCAGTCACAGATCGGTAGCACCGGAGGCTTGCTGTGGAACGCTTAAAGGAGATTTCAAAAGCAGGGGGCCGTCAACTGCGACCCAGAGACCGGCGGGGCCTGGCCCGAGCGTTGGGCACACCCTCTCGGCCTCTCCCACATCGCACCCGTGATGGACGTGTTACCCCATGACCTCACACGGTCGACACGCTCCCCTGAGAACAACCTGCTGCAGGTGTGTCTCAGCGAGAAGTAGGAGGTGAGGTCATTTAGCCCCCGCCCCCCCCAGTCCCCCGCCCGCCGGGAGCCTCCGACGCTTCTGGGGCCCCCGATCTCACGGGAGCGGGAGCCTGCCCAGTCGTTTGGGGGCCCAGCCGCCCCAGGCTCCTCACAGGACCACCGGAGTGAGCCCTGAGCTAGCTCCGCAGACAGGCCTTCCTGCCCCCGCCCCGCCCCGCCCCTGCAGCCATCTCCGCCCGGAATCCCCTTCCAGCCGCGTTTTGCCTCTGTCTGAAGAGCCGGCCTGCTGCCCCGAGGGGGGTCGGTGGGTTGGCCCGTCATCCGCACACCAACCAGAGGGCGGCGGTCCAACTCAAGGTCAGAGGGCGTGCCTTGGCTGCGGGTTTGACCACCCCCCCAACTCCCCCCTCCCCTGCCTACGAGAGGCACCGATGGATGTTTCCCTCTCCCACCGAGGTGTCTCTCGCTTTCTCCCTCTCCCTTCCTCTCTCTAAAATCAGTAAACACATCCTCGGGTGAGGATTAAACATTTTTTGACTTAAAGAGCTGGCCCTGAGCTACGCAGAAGCAAGGCCCGCGGTCCCGCACGCTCAGCGGTCCTGCCAGGCTTCCTCCCGGCCGCCCAGGCCAGAAGGGACAACAGCCTCTTCTCCGCGTGACCTCGTGGGGCCAGAGCCACCAAGCTCCACAGTGAGCGCCTCTCCCAGCGCCCGGCACACAACCACAGCCTCGTGTCCTGGGATTGCCGCCCCCCCGGTGGGAGGCGCCGGGGGCACACACACGTGGCGGCACGGCCGAGGGCTCCGCGCTCAGTGTGAAATTCCACTCAGCTCCCACAATGCAAGCTGGCGGCGTCCTAACTTGGCAGCTCTACCCTCCAGCTGGTACATCTAAATCTGAGCTCAGCCCCCCCACCCCCCAACACATGCTGTCAGAGGGGAGGAGGGATAAGGTCCCAGAGCAGAGCTGGGCCAGAGCCTGACCTGGGCGAGCAGGAGGCCCTCCCGCCCCAGCTCAGGACGCCCGCCAGGGGCTGTGGTGGCTACGAGAGGCCCGGCAGGGCCCAGCCCTGGGACAGCTGTGAGCTGAAGGCCGCGACACGCTGCTTCCCCGAACCAGGGGCTTTAAGGACCTCAGAGGGCACAGCCTGGACTGCTGACCCTGCAGGTCTGGGGAGGGCCTCCCAGGCGACTGGATCCCGGGAGGAGACTGGGACCCAGTCCTGCTCGAGGAAGGCAGGTGGGGGCGGGGCTCCGACAGGAGGCAGGCCCCTCCCCGCCCCGACGGGGGCTGCTCCCAGCAGACAGGCTGCTTAGGAGATACTCCCTCTCCCAGACGGACACGGTCACCAGCCGGATGTTAAACAGGATTAGCGGCAGCTGCTGGGTGGATCCGGGGCTGCAGAGGTCTGCTCTTGCTCTGCAACCCACCTGTCACTGGGAGCAGTGGGAGCGGACAGCCCAGTGAGTCCTTGGATGAGGCGTTGAAGGCGCGGCCGGGCACCGCGTCGCAGAGACGCCCCGGGGGGACCCCCTGGCCTCGGGTTCCTGGGCTGCGGCTCCCGGGGCCTGGCATGGGCTTGTCTAATCGGGGGCGGGCTCAGGGGTCCCGGGGAACCAAGCGACCTATTCTCCGATCACACAAGTAGTTAGGGCGGAGCCCACCCTGCACAACCTTAAATGCCAGCGGCAGAGACGCTAAGACCCAAAATCAGCTAATGGCCAAAAGGGAACGGAGCGAAGCCAGCGGCCAGGAAGAGCTACCGCCCCCGCCCCCAATCTCTCGTAAGGACGCAGGTCTAATTGGAATCAACAGAGCAGCCTGAGATGCTCACAGGGCTTGGTGCCAACGTCACAAATCCCCCCCCAAACCTGAAGGCGGACGAACAGCTCTCTCTAGGTCTCCGGCAATGATAAAAACTCACTCCCCTCCAATGCGTTCTTAGCACTTTTACTGTAAGACGGGCAAGCCCGTCACGGTGTTGTGCTTTTAGAGGAGGAGCTCCTGAGTCCAGGCCACCTCTGAAAGCCCCTTCCCGGCTGTGCTGACCAGGATGCCATCTTGGCCGGGTCCGGATGCCCTGTTTTTGTTGACAGAAAGGATGACGATGCCAAGCGGGCAGGCAGCTGGCACAGGGGGCGGGCACCGGTGTGGGCAATGTGAAAGGTATAAAGTAAAAATGCCAGTGCTGAACTTGAATCGTCCGATGTGGGGGAGGTCACAGGTTCCGCTTTCTGCTGCTCCACGCCAAGCCAGTGACCAGGCTTTTGCAAAACAGGCTGTTACGCAATCCGAAAGGAAGGGGCGCCTTGGCCTCCTCCCATAAGACGAACGCGCTCTGCAGAAACCCCCCGGCTGGGGAGACTCTCTTCCCCCTCACCTGCCCCCCCCCCCACCGTAAGAACCAGAGCACCTTTTAGAACCACGAACTCCTGGCCACCTGACAGGTCGGGCTGTGGAGGGGGCGTGTCTGGTCCCGGGGGAGAGGTGGGGGCAGGGGCGGCCGCCACAGAGGAGGGGGAGCAGGAGCCCAGAGGCGCCCCGCGGGGGAGCCGGGGGGGATGGGGGGGCGCGGGCTGCTGACTCTGCAGCCCTGCTTGGAACGGGCCTGCCGCTGGGCCTGCTGTTAACCCCACGTTGCTGCCACCATCTTGGGGCCACGCAGGCACTGACCCTAGGCCCAGAGGCAGCCGAGCCTTTTGTAACTCGGCGGTGACACTCAGACATCTGTTACCCAAAATTCGTGCCCCGAGATTTGCTGATTTACACCCGAGGAAAGAGAACCCTGCTGGTTGGAGAGACAAAGCCCCCGAAACGCCGGAGATGAACAAAACCCAGATTACGAAACGACGCCCTTCAGAAGACACGCCAGTCCCGCGCTGCTGCGTCTGAAAGTGCTTCTGTCCCTGCGGAGCAGGTTGCGTAACCAACCACCACAAACCCAGCGCCTGAAGCAGCACGAAGGTCATTATCTCACAGTTCCGCGGGCCTGAGGTCCGACTGGGCCCCCTGGCACTGAAATTGGGGCGTGGCTGTCACCTTTGGTAGGCTGGTCCCTCCCGAAGGCTCCAAGGGAGGGTCTGCGTTCGGCCCTTTCCGGCTTCAAGAATCGCCCGCATGCCTCCTCCTCCTGGGCCAGCGGTGACGGTCCACGCTCGCTCACAGCGCGCCACTCCGAGGCCGACTCTCAGCCCGCGGGGCCTCTCAAGGACCCTGTGGTGGCGCCAGGCCACTCCAGGTCAGCTGGCCAACAACCTGAATTCCATCGGCAACCTTAACTCCTGTGCCCTAGAACCTACCATAGTCCCAGGTGCCCAGGATTAGGACACAGACAACTTTGGGGACCATTTGTCTGCTGCCCACACCACACCAAGGACACTGTCTAGAGCCAACATCCCTCGGGGAGGTCTTCCCTTCTCCCCGCCCTCCCACTAGCCTCAGAGCCCTCTGAGCAGCTTGAGGGGGGCCGGCCCGGAAGCGGCAGCAGAGGCTGAGCCCGCCCCCGGCAGGAGCCGCCGGCCGGACCGGGGGTCGCCGCGCGCTCACAGGCCAGCGCCTGCCCTGAGGCCCCCTCGGCCCAGAGCCCTGGTTTCCTGGCCGGGAGGACTTCCCAAGCAGGAGCTGAGGTGCCCATGTCTCTTCCCGAACCTTCCTAAAAAGACCACAGACATGGCAGCCTAGAGCCCCAGGGAGCCCCAAACTCTTGCGCTCGCTGCTCTGCGCTGTCCCCTGTCACGCGCCAGCCCGGGGTCCGGGGCTGGGACACAGTGGTCAGCAGCACGACCCAGGATGTCACCGGTCAGCCGTTAGCACGCCCCTCAGGGACGTGGCCCACGTGCGTCGGGACAGCTGCGTGCTGCGGGCGGGGTGGCGGGGCGGTGGGGGTGGGGCGGTGGGCACCTACGGGCACACGTCCTGGAACAAAGTCCACAGGTGACTGCTCCCCGGCCTTGTCCCTGCCAGGCTGCTCCAGGGAGCTCCCGCCACGTGGCCGCAGAAACCGGTCCGTCTGCTTTGCCCTCGAAGCCTGATCAGCAAAGTCCAGGTACGTGTGCCAGTTAAATGGGAGCCAGACCCGCGCCTGCAGGCACTTCCTCTCCCACTAAACACCTGCTGTGAACACGCCCCGGGGGCCCAGCCCCCCTTCCCAGGGCCCAGCACACGAGGCACGGACACCGTGGTCTTTGGGGAGCCCCCAGCTTCGCATCCAAGGGCGCGGCGGCGTGAACCCTGCAGACGGCCCAGCTCTGGCACCCCGCCTGGGGACATGGGGTCTCCCCTATGCCTGAGCGCTGAGGGGACCCCTCCTCTCAGCTCTGTTCAGCGTCAGGCGTGAGGTGGCTGCAGGTGAGAGGGGTGCCTGCCGTGGGGTGCGCAGGGGACAGGCAGGGCTGCGGGGCGGGGCCGGGCCGGGCCTCGGGTGGAACCGAGGACACCTTGCGTTCAACACGAACGCATGAACCCTGGGGCAGGGGCTTGGGACCAACCGCCGTAAGAAAGGGGCCTTTGAGAGGCTGCAACCGGACAAGACGGTTAAAGAAAGGAGGGCGAGGGAGGACCTGGCCGCCGGAGGCAGGTGTCGCTTCGACTGAAGTGCTATGTCCCCTGGAAGAACAAGGAAGCAGGGCCTGGGAGACGAAACCAGCTTTAAAGAGCCAGGACCGGGGGCGAGGGAGGACGAAACGCCGAAGGTAAGGAAACGTGTGGATCCAGCCAGGAAACCCCCTGCCGACCCCAAAGAGGCCCGGGCGCGCCTGCCCTCCCCGCTGCACCTGCCGGCTTCCACACAGAGGCTCCGCCGTCTGAGGTCAAGGGGCCGCCACCGCCCCGTGAAACAGAAGCCCGACCGGAGCCAGGCAGTGGCGACACCCCTCAATGCTGCCTAAGGAAAGCATTTTGGTGATAGAAATGGAAACGCTGGGGCATCAGATGACATCTAGCTATGCCCTTTGTCCCAATTCCAGAATGCCAGCGTCACAGCCAATTTATCCAACTACTGAGCTCGGGGTCACTCAGCAAGGATCGTGTGCGAGCGTGCGCGGGCCGGGCTGCAGGCGCCGCGTGCGACCGTGGATTCCGCAGTGACCCGTGCAGGGACAGCGCAGAAAGGACACGCCACAGGGCGGCGGCGGCTGCTGTCGGGCGGGGCTGTGGGTCTGCGGGTCACGCATCCCACACCTCACCTGAAAGCCCTGGACGGACCCGCAGCGTGCGGCTCAGCCGGAGGAGGGCGGCCACTCCCGGGGGAAGACGGGCCTGGGGTCTCCCCTCCCTTTCCTCCCGCTGTGCCTCCGAGCGAACTTCTGCGGATGCTGAACTCAGCCTCCCTGGAGCCCGGCTTCTCCCCCTCTGAGGGCTGCTACACACGTTTAGGTTAGATATCAGCTGTCAGGCAGCTCGTCAAAGTAGATTTATGAGAGGTGTAAGACCAGGGGCCTGCAGGGGGCGCACAGGTGGCTGATAGCATAAAAAAGAACCACCGCGGAAGTGAATGGGGAGCAATGTCCTACCCCGGTCTTTTCTGTGCGCCGGGCTCGTCCACAGACTACGCATGCGGTGCGTCCTCGCTAAGCATCACAGCTAGGCTCTGAGACTTGGAGAACTGTCCTGTAACAAAACTCATTTTACTGAAAGCTAATTGCTGTAAACACCAGTTATGCTCCAAGAGCATCCAATCAATGTTACAATGAAATGACATCGAATGAAACAATGTTTCTGAGGACCTGCAATGTTTCTAAGGGCCTGCAAAGTACAACAGAACAATGTCCAATACAAGGGACACCACTAGAACCCATCCCTGCCGCTGCACTTGTCTCCCTCTCAAGCCCACTCCTCCTGGCCTTCTATGAAACTAAGTAGCTAATCCTACAAAAGCGGATTCAAGCTTGTGAAAAAATCTGGGTCTCTCAGCTGGGTTGGGGGAGACAAGGTGAAATCTCTACTGAGATTTCTGTTGCCAGGCAACCTGGTTGCCCTGTTCCCTGGAACGGCCAGCAGGGGCCCAGCCCCCCCCTGCGAAATTACAAAAATGAGCGGAAATATACCTAAATGACAAATCCCGTCTCTGCCTGTGATGAGCTATCTACTGGATGGACCACACATACAAAGAATCAAAAAACAAAACCAGGATGTTTCTGCCCCTCTAGTTACACAGGAGACATGCAAACCATGGCTATTAATAACCACACTAATAAATAGTAGCAAGCCCTGAGCGCAGGCCAGGTACTATATAGATGCTTTAGACAGTCAGTGTGAAAGGCCTTTGGGGCAGGTGTATTATTTCCATTTTGCAGAGAGAGGCACACAAGGCACACACGCGTCAGGTCGGAACTGGGCTCCACGGTTGGTACCGACCCCACGCCGGCTCCGGAGGCCACGCTGCGACCCCCGGCCACACTGTGGCCACGGCACTGAGCTACCCGGGACGCAGGCAGAGAGGCCAGCACGGCGGAGGCAAGCCGAGCAAGCCGCGGGCTGTCTCCTCAGCTGCCTGGCCACTAGCGGTGACGTGGGCTTGGTCCCCTGCCCCTGGCATTGTAATGAGCCACGTGGCAGACTGCGCCGGGCTGCACAAGGCGCTCGGGGAGGGAGCCCCAGTGAGCGATGGGGGCCGCTCATGGGGGGACGCGGGGGGACGCCCTGGGCTTTTGGCGCTGGACCGCCCTGCGCCCAAGGCCCCGGGTCCCAGAGGCGTGAAGGTGGGGCAGGCTTCCCTAAGCCTCGGCGTCCCCGCCTGTGAAAGGGGCTTGCGCCCGCGCGGACTTGAACGGTTTGCTTCCCGGGTTAAGTGGACTGAAGCATGAGCGTCAGCAGCCGTCACTGCGGGAGGGCGGGGCGGTCCCGTCGCGAGGCGCTTTCCCCAGCCGCCCGCCGAGGCTCCGCTCTCTCCCACACACCCGGGAGCCCACCCGCGCCGGGGAGAACATGGCGGCCGCGCGGGGCACACGCCGCGCCCCAACCAACAGCACAGGGACGGGGAAAGGCCCCCCTCCATGCACGACCCTCCTTCCGCACACGCTCTCCTGGTTTAGTGCTTAACAATTCAGTGTCAACGCTTCTAATGAGGGATTTCTAAAACCTAACAGTCAGATTTCCGAAACTTCCCCCTGCTCCCGGGAGGACAGACTTGGAATGGAACCCTTGAATCCACGCCTCTGGTCTGGCCCTTTAGTGAAACGCGCCCACGGCGCGGCCTTTTCTAAAACCCGGTTCCCTCTTCTTTCCACATAAAGCATCAGTGGCTTCAGGAGATGAAGACAGACCCGAGGGACCAGTCACAGGCGCGCTGTGTCCCCCCCACCCCGGTCCTCCCCGCCCCCCGCAGGCAAACTTGAGGAAACAGCAAAACAAACTCCTCCCCAGGAAAGTGAGCAGGCCTGACCGTCTCTATTTCTGAACGGAATTTGAACCAGACCCTGCCCCACAGATGACAGCAACTTCCCGCGTGGGAATAACAGGATCTCAAGATTCCCTGGCTTCTGGCAAGGTCCCGCGGTGACACGAGCAATCCTAAATGGCCTGTTTTCCTCTTTGCCCTTGTTTATATTCTTTTGTCTTGCTCGCTTTTTTAAAAGTAAAGAACAAGGGGGAAGAGCCGCGGCCTAAGGAAGTGAGTTTCCTGACACGAGGTCCGTGGCCAGACCCCCGGCCGGCAGCCGGGAAAGCCAAGAGCGCGGCGCCATGGGGCGGCGGGCGCTCTCCCGCGGGCTGGGTCACTAACAGCGGCCCCTACAACTTCTCGTTCCCGGGCTGCGACCACCCAGCCAGACAAAGACCGCAAGTTCCCGGGTCCCCCGCTCCAGACAGGCGAGGACCGAGTGTCCCCGGGTTAGGCCCACTCTCTGCCCGGGCCGCCCCGATCGCCGCGGAAGGGGTCGCCCGAATGCGCCCCGCACGATCCGGAGCGCCTGCGCGCCGCCCGGCCCCCGCTCGGGCCCTGCGCTCTTGAGGCTGCGGCCAGACCCTGGTCTCTCCCGGGCCCGCGGCTGCAGGCCCACGCGCGGCGAGCGCCCACCTCGTCCCCGCCGAGGCGGCGCCGCCGCCCGGGCCCCCGCGGGCCCTTCGGACCCCGCCCCCGTGGCCCCAGGCCGGGCCCCAATACCCACCCGGATCCCACAGCGGGGGCCGGATTCGCGCCGGCTCCGGGAGCCGCCGCCGCCGCCACCGCCGCCGCCGCCAGTGAGGCGCGGCGGGGCGGGGACGCGCGGCAAGGCCCGGCCCCCGGCCCGCCTACGGCCCAACCCGGTCCCCGCCCTCGGCCCAGCCGGGCCCTCGGCGGACCCCAGGCCCGACCCCGACCCCGGCCGGACCTGGCGTCGAGTCCGGCACTGCCCCAGTCGCCTTCGCCCTCTGGCCCCAGGTCCCCGGCCCCAGCCGCCTCGATTTCGGGCCTCGCCGCCCGCCCAGGTCCCAGGCCCTGGACTCGGCCCCGGACACGAGCCCCGACCTCCCCAGAGTGAAGGCGGAGTCCCTGGGACATTCCACGTGTGCCCTCGCCCTCCGGCCTCTGAATGTTTCGCTTTGTTTTGTTTTGTTTTCTATTTGGGGGGAGGGGGGGAGGGAGGGACCGACACCCGGCAGGCCGCAGGCCTCAGCGTGCCCCCTCTCCTCTGAGGATCCTTCGCAGGAACCCTGCGGAGGGGGCGCCGAGACCCCCAGGCCTGGAGGTGGATGGCCGCGCCCCAGGCTGGGGCCCCCGGGCCCCCGAAGGCGCAGCCGGCTCCAAGGCTCCTCGCGTCTCCACCTCCGCCTGCCGCCCTGGGCACTTAGCGGCCCCCGGGGGGCATCGGACTCTCCGACAGGGCAGCGCTCGGACAGAGCGCGCGAGGGAGAAGCCGTGCCCACGCTCGGGCGTATCTGCGTGTCAGACGGCCGGGGTTTCCAGCGCATAGAAACGGCCCCAGGCCGCGCGCCCGGGCGACCCACGGCGCGCGCGGGGACCCGGGGCGGCCGGATGTTGACGGCGTCGCCTAGCAACGGGCGATGGCGGAGCCAGGCGCCGGGGCCGGCGGGTAAGCGGGGTCCAGAGGCCGCGGTCTCGGAGCGGCCCCCACGGCTCCCCCTTCCTTAGCCCCCCTTAACCCCGGGGCGCCCCTTCCCTCTCGCCGCTCTCTCCCGCCTTTGCCCCCTCCGGCCCCACTCTCTGCCCCGGGCCCGCCCCCGCCCGCCCCCGCCCCCGCCCCCCTGCGCGCCCCTTCTCCGTCCTCACGGCCCTTTGTCCTCTCCCACACGCGCTCGCTCTCCCCCGGCTCCGGGCGCTCCGCTCCCGAATACCGCGACCGGGGCGCCTGGCGGAAACCACGACAACCACTGCGCTGGGCAGCCGCGGCTGTGGGGCCGGCGCCGGGGGCCGGAGGCTCTGCGGGGTGCGGGTCCTGGGGGGCCGCCCCGCGGTGGCCACGGGAGCCCAGCCCAGCCTCCCCTCCCCCAGAAGGGCGACCCCGCCCCCTCCCTGGCTTGGGGGTCCCCCGAGCGGGGGCGAGCGACCTGAGCACAGGCAGCCGGTAGTCGGGGAGAGCCGGCCGCCAGGCCCCTGTCGCTTAGGCTTCGTCTAAAGGCCTTGACACCGCTTTAAAGAATTTGCCCTCAACCGGAGGCACTTCTGTGTTGTTTCATTAAAAAGAAAAAGGGGGCCTGGGCCAGGAGCACCGACCGGCAGAGCAATCGGGGTCACGTTAAGTGGCAAGTCTGAGCGCCCAGTGGTCCGCAGAGTGGCCTCGGATTTCGCGAGCGTTTCAGTTCATGGCAAACCTTCCCGCGAACATGCCCTCCGGGCTCCTGCTGTGGCTGCAGGTTGCGTCCAGGAGAGGACAAGTCACCAGGGCTTTTATTGTCTGTGTCACACATTTCTGTTTTAGTTTGACTTTAAAAAAAATAATGAGCTGGTGTCTTTAATTAGAAAAAAAGTTTGTCTGTAACAGGGTATTCTTGTACTATCCAACCCAGAGTTTGTAGAGTTTGTCCTTTTCTGCAATGTCCTCTTACTTTGTCTTTCTTTTTTTTAAAGATCTTATTTATTTATTCTTAGAGAGAGGGGAGGGGAGGGAGGAAGAGAGGGAGGGAAACATCCTTGTGTGGTTGCCTCTCGCACGCCCCCAACTGGAGGCCTGGCCCACAACCCAGGCCTGTGCCCTGAGTGGGAACCGAACCGGCGACCTTTCGGTTCACAGGCCGGTGCTCGATCCACTGAGCCACACCAGCCAGGGCTCACTCTTTCTTTCCCCTAGTTTGTCAGACACCAGTACCTTTCAGGTGACTTCCCTGGCGTGCTATTAATGTTTCAATAGTTGTATTTCTCATTCATTCGTGGAGCCACCCTTTCGCTGCCCTCGCACCACGTGACACACGCAATCCAGTGCTGGGGGTTAGTGACAAACACTATCATTTGCAAGTAACTGCCTAGACATCCCCTGGACTCCCCGAGAGGCGAGGAATGCCGGGCGCGGCGCAGCGGTGCCGACGGCTGCCTCTCTTTCTGCCCGCAGGCCTCCTCCGGAGGGACTCTCAGCGCCAGCAGGCGGGGAGGACCAGCACGCCGAAGGCCGCAGGGTAACGCTCCCCGCAGCACAGGCTGTTCTGGGCGTGTGTTTACTGGGCATTAGAGACGTTTAGCTCTTGCTCCAGAAAGGTGCACCTTGCCGGGCACAGACGCCGCGGGGCTGCCGGGAGCCGCGCTTCCTTCCGCCGCTGCACAGCGTCAGCAGGCGGGGCGGGGGGGGGGGGGGGGGCGGGCACGCTGCTCTCAGAGGGCCCCGAGCTGTCAGAAGTCGTTCCCTGCACCGACAGATGCAAAATAATGACAAAAAAAGAGAAAACAACAACAGCAACAACAAACAGAGAGCGCAGATAAGTTAAAGCACAAAATAATCCCTGAGTGATGCTCAGAAGTGTGTGGGTGGCGTTTCTTCATCAGTATAATTAGAGTATTATAAAAAGTCCAGAGGGGGGAGACTGGGACAACTAGAATAGCATAATCAACAAAATACAATAAAAAACAAAAATAAAATATCACCAGACCCCTTATAACATCATTCCCTGATTTTTTTCCTGCCACATCGCCATAGGTGTCAACAGCAGAGAAGAGCGGTGACCAGGAAGATGAAGAAGCTGTTGATGCGACAGAGCATTCTGAAGAGGTCACAACCCTTGGGGAGGTCGCATCCGAGGGGGAAGTTGCCCCCGAAGGGGAAGTCACACCTGAAGGGGAAATCGCACTCGATGCAGAAGTCACCCCCGAAGGGGAAGTCGCCCCCAAAGGGGAAGTCGCACCCGAAGGGGAAGTCGCCCCCGAAGGGGAAGTCGCACCCGAAGGGGAAGTCGCCCCCGAAGGGGAAGTCGCCCCCGAAGGGGAAGTCGCACCCTATGGAGAAGTCGCCCCCGAAGGGGAAGTCGCCCCCGAAGGGGAAGTCGCCCCCGAAGGGGAAGTCGCACCCTATGGAGAAGTCGCCCCCGAAGGGGAAGTCGGCCCCGAAGGGGAAGTCGCACCCTATGGAGAAGTCGCCCCCGAAGGGGAAGTCGCCCCTGAAGGGGAAGTCGCCCCCGAAGGGGAAGTAGCCCCCGAAGGGGAAGTCACACCCTATGGAGAAGTCGCCCCCGAAGGGGAAGTCGCCCCCGAAGGGGAAGTTGCGCCCTATGGTGAAGTCGCCCCCGAAGGGGAAGTTGCGCCCTATGGTGTAGTCGCTCCCCATGAGGGAGCTGAAAACAAGGAGGAAGCGGAAATGAAAGAGGACTTGGAGTCCGAAGGGGAGCTGGACTCTGACACGGAGACCTCGTCCTCTGAGGAGAGAGTCAGTTCTACAGATGTGATCTACACCAGTCCTGGGGACGTGGCCGAAGAGGAAGATGACTCCAGGTCCCTGTACGAAAGAGCAAGGAGGGAGGCCAGGCTTGAGGACGGAAAGTCCGCCCGTCCCTCGGAGCCCGGAGGCGGGGGCGCCGGCCCGCGACAGGCAGCAGGCCACTCGGAGCAGAGGGGCCAGGGCGCTGCCAGGCGCTGGGCAGGCAGTTCGGTGAGTAGCCGAGGGTCTGTTTTTGCAAACATGCTGCTGCCCCTGCGGTTTGCCGCCTACGGGAGGAACTTGGGGTACACCTCAAAGGGCCACTGCGACCCCCGTGAGAAGCTGCCGAGCGCCTCGGAACACCGCGGCGGGCGCCCTGCATGGGGGGCGTCCGGGTGTGCGGTCTCTGAGCCGCCGGTCGAGCCAGACGCTCCGTGACCACGCGGGCGCCCTTTATCCGCGCCCTCCGGCACGGGAACCGTCAGCTGCGCCTGGCACGGAGCGCTCCCCGCGTGGCCAGGGAGGCAGAGGGATCGCTGCGATGCCCACCCCGAAAGGGTAGCCTCTGCACCCCGCCCCCTCGCCCTGTGCGGGCTGCACCCCCCCTCAGGCGAGCCCCCTGTAGGTCTAGGTCTGAATGGCTCTGAGAGGAAAGCGGGGGCTGGGGGGGGCGGCGAGAGAGATGCAGCATGTCTCTCCGCCCATGACCGCGCCCTCGCTGCTGTGTCCCTGTTGGGCCTTGTCTCGGTGGATCCCGACCACAGCCCTGGGGAGCGGGCACCGGTGCTGTCCCCGTTGTGCAGGGGAGGAAGCGGGGGCGGAGGGGCCTGCCCTGCCGGCGCCACGCAGCGGTCATGACACGTGGCCGCTCTTGCTCCAAGGCCGCCCTCCTGAACCAGGAAGCCTCAATGGCCCCCCGCTCTGCGGGGCCCGAGGCCGCAGCTTTGGAGAAAAACATAACCTGACATTTGTGGGGCCCTCATCAAGCCTTATGGTTATAAGTGATACTTAATCCACTGAGCGACACCAGCCAGGGCCCAAATGATCTTTTTTATAAAAGTTTTATTTATTTATGTTTAGAGAGAAGGGGAGGGAGGGAGAAAGGGAGGGAAACATCGGTCAGTTGCCTCTCATATGCGTCCCAACTGGAACCGAACCCACAGCCCAGGCCTCCGTCCTGGCCAGGCGTCAGACCAGTGACCGTTCCCTCCAGTTAGGGCAAGCCAAACAACCCCCACACCCAGGCGGCTCCCTCTCCCTTAAACGATCGGGTTGAGCTTCGAGCACTGCAATGAACCGAATCCAGCGACCTTCCAGACTGACCCCGCGCTCCTGGACTCAGGCCTGGCTGTTCCTGTTCTAGAGAATCTCCGTCGAGGAGCTGCAGCAGGAGGCACCTGCTCCGGGGGCGCAGCGGCCCCGGGGGCGGAGCCGGCGGAGCAGCGCCACGTCCTCGAGCGCACAGTCCCTGACCCCGGAGCCAGGTACCGTGTCCCCTGCCCTCAGGATAGGCCACTTCCCAGCCCCTCTGTGCCAGGGACGCCCCGTCAGCGAGAAGCCAGCTTTCCCTCCCCGGCTTGCGCATGTGACCCTTTCTACGGAGCTTGTCGAGTCGGGAGTAGAAGATCCGAGAACAAGAGACACTGTGAACAGCGCTCCGAACCCCCGCCCATCCGGGGGCTGTTTCTAATCCCCTCGGGTGCGTGAGGGTGGGCACCAGCTTTGTCTTCCAACTGCCTCTGCTAACGCCTCCCTGATGTGTGCTGTCCCCCAGAGGTGCCTGGCACCCACCCCGGGGAGGGGTCCCCGCCCTCCTTCCTGGACAGGATCCAGCACTTAGCCCGCTCCGGGGAAGGGGGCGAGGAGCGAGTGGAGTCCGAGGGGAGTGACCAGGCAGAAGACGACGCCTCCCAGCTGGTGGTCTTGGACCCAGGCCACGTAAGGAAACCTTGCCTGGTTCTGTGCGGGTGAAGAATGACTTGGAGACGCTGAGGCCTCCCTCTGCCCTCCGCCCCCACGGGCCACCCCGTCACCGCAATGCTGGGGCCCCGCACCACCTGTTCCCGGAACAGTTACTCTGCTTTGGGAAGCATATTCTCCATTCAGGCCCATACATCCCAAATCGGCCTTTCTCAGCCGTGGCACCGCTGACATTTGGGGCCCCTCATTCCGTGGGCAGGGGGGTGGGCAGCACCTTGGGCAGGCAGGGAAGGCAAAGCCGGACTGGAAACACCCGTCTGCAGAGCCGTGAGCTCCCGCCTTGCAGGAGGGGCGGGGCTGCGCCGGGAAAGGGGCCCAGCTAGCAGCGCCCCCACTGGCCCCGAGCACTGTCAGGGCCCCGGCCCCAGCTTGCCCTGTCCTTTTGCCAAAACGCACAGTGACGAGGCCTCTCGTGCCTTTACTTTGTGGCTTCCAGAGTAAGATCCGGGCAGAAGTGGCGAGCACCCAGCGGGGAGGCCGCTCAGCCCCTCACCCACACCCCAGGGAGGGCCGTCGAGGTCGAGGCTGAGGCGCGGGGAGGGGCCAGGAGACTCACCCGAGCGCCCTGCCCTCGTTCTAGCCCCTGATGCTGAGGTTCCAGGCCACCCTGAAAAGCTACCTTCGCCGCCAGATAGAGAAGCTGACGCTGGAGGTTCGCGAGCTGGTGCGTACACACCGCCCCGCCTGCCGCCAGCCCGGTGCCCATGTCCCCCTAACCCGGTTTCTCTCTCCGCCGCAGGGGGTGGCCACCAAGCGGAGCCAGGCCCAGCGGCAGGAGCTGGGGGTGGACCTCTACGGGGTCCAGCAGCACCTGGCGAGCCTGCAGATGCAGCTGGAGAGGAGCCACGACCGCCACTCCATCATCGCGTGCGCCCGCCAGCAGCAGGAGCAGGAGCTGCAGCGCGCGCGCGCTCTCTACTCGAGGACCAGCAAGGCTGCCAATGAGGAGCGCAAAAAGCGTAAGTAGAGGCCCCACCTCCCCTCGCGGCCCGAGGGCCTTCACACGTGCCATCGCAGCTCCAAGCGCGTGCCATTGCGTCCCGGTGCGCCATTGCGACCCCTACGGGCGTCCCCACGTGCCTTTGCAGAACTTGGAGAAAAGCGCATCCCTGCGCGTGCCCCGCCTTCTTAGGAAAGGGATGCGTAAACGTCTGAAAAGGCAGCTACTTAGGAAGCACCACACTCTGGAGCCTGCACAGCGGGGCGCACAGAGGGAAAGCCGGCGAGGCGCGGGGCCCAGAGCTCCAAGGTGGGCGTGTCCAGAATGCTAGGAAGTGCCTGACCGCAGGGCGCGGACTGTGCCAGCCGCTAGGTGGAGCCCTTCGCGGGCTGGAGCAAGCCGGGCCCCTGCCGGGAAGGAGGCAGCCGCTGACGCTGGGAAGCCGGGCGGCTTTGGGCCACAGGAGGCCGCAGAACCGGGATTCCTTACCTGCACTGTTACTGCTAGAGCTATGCCTTGTGCAGTGCAGGGGCGCGTAAGTCGCAGTGAGCAGCGACTTCTCACACCCTCAAACCGCTGCATGTTATTTTAGTCTTGGTGCTTGTTTATGTTTCCAACTGTAACAACTCTGTTTCTATTGTAATGGGGGAAATGACCTAAAAGAATTGGGAAGAGAAAGAGAACCGAATGGTGCGCCCGTCCCAGGCGTGGCGGGAAAGAAACCTGGTGGGCCCCGGGAAGCCGGAGAGGCTTCCCAGCGACGTCCGAGCAGTGCTCACTTATCGAGCACCGATCGCCATCAAAGTGACCGAAAATGCCCGAAGGAGAAGAACACGACATTCGCGCTGAAGCAGTAAAGAGCCGTGTCCACCCTCCAGGTGTGATTGCGACAGGAAAGAGGGCGCGGCCCCCCCAGCCCCTCCGCACACCTCAGGGAGTGCCCGCCAGCACCCCTTAGCGGGGGCTCCGGCTGTGGGTGGGCTTCTGGAAAGATCTAAGCGTCTCCACCGACTTTTTGTCCTTTCTGGAGGTCACCGGGCAGCAGAAGCGGAAGCTGTCCCGCCCGGCGCGGGTTCCAGCTGATGGTACCGGTTCTCCCTCCCCGGCCCTGCCCGCCACCGCAGCCACTGCGCTGTCCCTTTAGGGAACAGGGGACTTTGCCACTGAACAACATCCATGGCTGCCCGCTTCACCGGGGAGGGAGGGGAGGCCCAGCAGTCACCACACCTTCCCAACGAAGTATGAGTCACCGGGGAAAGCCCCCGTGCCCGAGAGGAGGCGGGGCGGTCGGACAGAGCAGCCACCTGCCCGGGCGGACCCGGTTCTCGACACGGAGCCGGGCCCCGGTTGGTGCTCTGGGCGGCTTGTCCATCCCATGAGACCAAAGTGTTGGGAGAAAGGATACTTGAAATTTAGAAATAATCATCGGCCACGGAAAGGCCCTAAATATTCAAATCAAGACTGCTGAAAACTGAACGTGGAAACTAGAAAGCCCATGAGAAGAATTCTCCCCAGAATTCAGGGCAAACACCACAAGCGATGGACGTTTGGAGAAAGAGGTAGAAGGTCACAGACCTGGGGACGTGATATTCCTGAGGGAGAAATTCCAGGAGGTCAGGAGCACTAGCCAATGACAAGAGAGGAAAACGTTTGCGTGAGTTCAAGGAAGACGCATCTTCAGAGGCCAAGGCTTGCGGGGGCCTCTCAGGTGGCAGAAATGATAAGCATGCGTAGACATAGCTGGTGACGTTTTTAAATTCTGAAAGTAAAGGGGAAAAATGCCGCAGGCTTCCAGACAGGACAACACTCACCGTGTTATTCAACCCTCCGTGGGCGGAGACTTGGGGACACGCTTCCGGGGCCCATCTTACAAGGCTGAGGGTAATCCCGCTGCAAAAGCCGGCCACGTCGAAAACAGAAAACTGTGCGGCAGAGCCGCTCAGGAGGTGTGAAAGTCCCAGATAAACGCTAGCGAATATCAAATACTGGTTCAGCAACAATACAGTAAGAGGAAAATACCCCTTAGCCAAGAAGGGCTTGCTTCTGGACTAATTCAGAGCCATTCATACTGGTTTAATATGTTATATTCATCAATTAAAGGAGAGGGAAACTATGTTCTGGCGGATGCTAAGGGGTGTTTGGTAAAACCCACTGTGCACCCCACACGGGGACAGAAGGAAATGTCTTGGTAAGTATTTATCAGGCACTGACAGGAGCGCTTAACTCCGGGGAGAGCCCTGGAGAAACTATAGTGAAACCCAGGAGGCAGTGAGGACCCCACCAGCGCCCCTGCTGGCCACGGGAGGAACAGGACGTGAACGCAACGCAACGGAGGACTTGCCGCTCACGGCCCCCCTTGACTCCGAGAACCTCTCTCACTTCCTCCTCTGCCACCCGCCAGAGAACCCGCTCTACTTTTAAAGGCTCGCCCGCTCGGGTCAGGCCACCTGAAGGTTTCCCTTCTGCCACGTGAGTGTTACTCCTGGAACTGATTCCCTCTCAGGAGTAGCACCAGGGTCAAAAGTTGTGGGAGCCACTGAAAAACCTGCCCACCTTCCCCCCACTTCCATGAAGAGCCGGTAGAGGCCAGTCCGTGCAAGCTGAACATCGCCGCTGCGGAGCAGCCGGCGGTCGGCGTGCAGGGAAGGAACGGGGCGACGGCGCTAACGCCCTGGCCGGCCTCCCGCTCTCTGCAGTGGCGGCGCTGCAAGCCGAGATGGAGAGCCTGGCTCTGAACGTCTTCTACATGCAGAACGTCGACCAGGACGTGCGGGACGACATCCGCGTGATGAGGCAAGTCGTGAAGAAGTCAGAAGCGGAGCGGGCGCGGGCCGAGCTGGAGAAGAAGCAGCAGGTACAGAGCTGGGCAAGGCCGAGGCCCGGGGCCTTGCCAAACCCCTGGGCTTTCCAGGCGGCGCCTCGCTGTGCCCCTCACGGGACTGCCGCTGCCCGGACAGGCCGTGGCCAGCCCCGGGGTCAGCCCCTCGGGTCGGGGGTCCGTCCCTGAGAGGCCGGCGCGCGGTCTCCTTTCCCAGGACCTGCACGTGGACCGGCTCACCACCCAAGCCAACCAGCTGGAGGAGCAAATCGCCCTTTTTGAAGCTCAGTCCTCTGCCCAGGCCGAGGACACCCAGCTGCTCAGGAAGGCCGTGAGCGAGGTAAGAGCGAGCGACCCCCGTGCGCTCAGCCGCAGCAGCGCCCACGTAGCGCCCGCCACATGGCACCGCTGCCCATGTGCCTGTTGAATGGATGACCGCGCTCTGGGTCCTCGTCAGCACCTCGGGCTGACCCCTGTGAGGACGAAGCAGGTACCGGCCGACAGAGGCCGTGTAGTTTTTCCTCCCGTAGCCAGAGACGCGCTGAGAGGCCTCCCGGAAACGGGCACATTGTGTTGTGTGCACTGGGCAGCCCTCAGCCAGCCCCGCAGCCACAGCGCGGCTCCCCGGGGCCCACGGAAGCCTCCCGGGCAACCTCACGCCCGGGCGGTGCCTGCACGTCCACTCCGTGCGGAGTCGGGGGGAGACAAGCCCCGTGCAGCACCGAGTTCTGTGGCCGATGCTAGAAACCAAAGCTGCTGTGACTCCTTCCTCCTGTGCCCCCGATCAGTGTTTACGCGTGCAGGGTCCCAGGAAGGGACAGGCCACTGTTACTGAAGGGGACAGAAGGGCTCGGGTGGGTGGACCGCACACGCGCCCTGGGCCCGTGGGGGGGCTGCCGTCCTCCAGCTTGGAAATAAACTTAGTCCAGATGAGTTCCGGTCAGGATCGCAGAAAACGCGACTTTTAGGGAGCGAAGCAGCTCTTTAGCTGATCTGAAAAATAATTCAGAAGGCCAGCCAAGACTTGTTTTGGAAGAGAAGGTTCCTGAGGGGTGACCGACGGTCCCTGTTTGAGCCACACGGAGGGGTTTCTGGAGACGTGGGGCTTTCTGTGCCAACACCAAAGATCCTGGGCACACTGGGCGGCGGGCCCCCGGCATCGCCCAGGAGGCTAGAATCGCGTGCTCCTGGGCCGGGCGCACGGACAGGCCAGGGGGCCCAGCGAGAGGCCCGCAGCGAGCACGCGCGTCTCTGAAAATGTCGTCGGTTGTGAATTATGGAGAATGAGTGGGTGACACACCCCTCGTGCTGGGACATGTGGTTAATCATTTGGGGGAAAAAATTAGACTTTTTCCTCATACCAGACACTAAAATAAATTCCAGATGGGATCAAGAATGTAAATGGGGAAAATGTACCAGAGGAAAAGAAAAGAAAAATATTTATAAAATCCTGGGCCAGAGAGGCCTTTCTAAGCGTAGCCTGGAAAGCAGGTACTTTAAAGGAAAAGATGCGCAGGGGGAACACAGTCCCTGTGTGTGGAGGCGCCACCAACTACGCAGAGAGTGCTAGATGCCAGAAGTCGCCTGCACGGGGGTCCGCTCCCCAGCCCCTGCGGTTCAAGGCCAACGGTAAACATTCGCCAGCAGGGGAACCCATTTACAGTACGCTAATTTTTAACACTAAATTACCGAACCACTTGGAGCCTACGCAGGTGGAAGCAGCCCCAGGGCATTAGAAAGGATGAACTAGAAGTGGGGGTGTAGGTGGTTTTATTTTCTTTTTGTTTACGCGTATAGAATGAACACTTTTTTAAAGTTTTTTATTTATTGGTTTGAGAGAGAGAGAGACAGACAGCGTGGGGAGAGAAACACACACATCGATTTTTGGTGTTGCGTTTATTGATGCATCGTTGGTTGATTCTTGAATGTGCTCTGACCAGGGGTGGAACCTGGAACCTGCAACCTTGGCTCGTCGGCCGACACTCCAACCGCGTGTCCTGGCCAGAGCCACATTGTTTCAAAAACGAGGAGGGTGTTTAAAACCCTTAATGGCTTCCGCCCAGGCCTTGGCATCCCAGCCTGGCTGGCCCCGAGGCCCACGCCACGTGCAGGGTCTGGCGGGCAGCAGGGGCCTGCCCGCGTGGGCCCCACCTCCGCTTCCCGCAGCATCGGGCCCATGAGGCCCTGAGGAAAGGCTCAGGCCGGGGTTCGAGGGGCCATTTCGTGACTGTCCTCTTGTGGAGCACGATAAAGACGAGCGAGCGTGAACGGGAAGGGGAGGAAGCGGGCGCGGGCAGGGCGCGGCTCTGATCCTGGCGTGTGGGTGCAGCGTCCCCTCTTGGCCGCAGGCCTGCGCGGAGATCGAGGCCGTCGGCCTCGAGAAGAGGCGGATCCTGCAGCAGTGGGCCACCAGCCTGGTGGGCATGCAGCGTCGGGACGAGGCCCACAGGACCATCCAGGAGGCGCTCAGGTGGGGGCTGCGGCGGGGGACCGGGCTCGGGCGCCAGGCGGGCCGCGCGGGCTGTCCCCGGGCAGTGGCGGGCCCACCTGGTCCCCTGTGAGCGGGCCTCCTGGGACAAAGGAGGCGCCTGCAGCCCCGCTTCCGCCCTGAAAGCGCCCTTATTGTTCACCAAGATTTCTGCGTTGCTTAAGTCCTCTCAAACTTCCCTGGCCCCAGAGCGGCTGGCTTTCCTGCTCAGATTTCCTGGGAGGATTAAGGAGACACAGAGGAAGAAGAGAAAAGGGTGTTTATCTTGGGGCGATAAGGTGTCCCTTTGATTTGAAAACCTCGCCACCTGGGTGCGGAAACGCCATCCTCCCCAATTGTTCCGTCAGGGGCTGCGTTCCAGCTGAAATCCTGTTTAATCTCCCCCGGGGGAAGGAAGAGGCCCCTCTCTGTTACTGGGAGCCACGGTGGACATATCCGGGGGCGGGCGCCGGAGGCGGGGCCTCCAGGCACAGGGCTGCCCTACCTCCCCAGCTGCCCGGCCATGGGGCCCCGAGGTGACAGCCCAGCGGCACTGCGCAGCAGCGTGGCACTGGCGAGACACTGGCGTGGCTCCCACTTGGTCTCTTTGCTGGCGCCGCCGCTGGGAGCCTGGCAGAGGGCGAGGCCCAAGAAAGACGTGCTAGACGAGGGAACAAACGCAGGGTGCAGGTGGCTCCTCGGTGAGGCTCCCGCCCTTGTCCAACGCTCGGTGCCTCCAGGACCTGACCCGTGTGTCCCCCTACACTGTCCCCCGAGCCCAGTCTCCCGGCTGTTCCCAGACAGAGCACCCACTGGGCCCGTGGCCCCGGACACGGGGCCGTGGCGAGGAGGCCGGGACTGCTCTCACTCCGCCCCGTGAACCACGCCTCCCTCCCACCCGGGCTCCGAGGCGGGCGGACACGTCGCGTGGACCGGGGCCCGGCCGCCCCTGCGACCTGCACAATGTCCCTAACGAGGTCGCGTCCCAGTGGGCGCCGGCCAGGGCTGGGGACCGCGACGGGGCTGCCGGGAGCACAGAAGGTCATCCGTTCAGGGAAACAAGCCAGAAAACACAGAGGCCGCTGTGCTGAGCCGAGGGGGTGGGTGCCCTACAGGACACCCCCTCGGGGGTGGGGCCCCAGTGCCCCGTTGCCCGCCGGTGTGTGTCTGCCCAGCGGCCCGCCCCCTCTTCTCCCTCAGGCGGCCGGCGCTTGGGGCACCGCCCTGTGTCCCCCAGTTCTTTGTTCCAATGGTTTTCTGTTGGTAGCTACCAATCTAGGAAGTTTTGTTTCTTTTAAATGCCGTAATTTCTTCTCACAGTGTGTGTGTGTTTTAAAGATTTTATTTATATATTTTTAGAGAGAGGGGAAGGAAGGGAGAAAGAGAGAGAGAGAAACATGAACAAAAGATACATCAACTGGTTGCCTGTCGTGCGCCCCCTACTGGGGACCTGGCCCGCACCCCAGGCCTCAGGCCTGAGCCCTGACCGGGAATCGAGCCGATGACCCTTTTGCCTGCAGGCCAGCGCCACGCCAGCCAGGGCTCAAGGAAGTTTTTAAAGTGTGTGGGTTTTTTAAAAATAATTTTTATCAAGGGTACGTGACCACATTACAGGAAATTTGAAAAACCAGGTACAGGGTTTTAAAATGTCGCGCGCTCTCTCCTTTTGTGACAATGACACTTTGTCGGTACCGGGCTGTCGCGGGCGCAGCAGGAGGCGGGGCGGGGGGCGGGGCCGGGGGCGGGGAGCAGGCAGCTCCCGGTGAGAAGGGCCGTGAGAAGGGCCGAAGCCTGGCCCGCAAACAAAGAGTCGCGTTCCGCCACCCGGGACCGTCCTTCCTCACTTGGCGCCCCCCTGGCAGGTGGCACCACAGCCGCTGCCGAGGGGGCAGCAGCATCGGAGGCGACGCCCCCGGGGTGGGGGGGACGAGCCTCCGAAACGCTGGCCCTTCCGTGTTGGCGTCTTTGAAACTGGGACAGTGCCCCCCGGCAGGACTGTGGCCCTGAGGACAGGAGGCGGGCCCTCGTGCCCCAACCTTCGTGCCGCCCTCCCCTGCCCCCCCTGCCGCCCCCCCCCCCCCCGTCACCATCATAAACGAGTTTTAGACGCGGGCTCGACACGGGCAACAGTTCTGTCAAAGTGTCAGAGAGCAGCAGTCAGGCAACGCCGTCGGTTTCCTAGTGTCCACGTCTGCTGTTTAAACAACCGGCGTCTGAGTTGTTAGCCTCCGCCCGGGCGCGTTTCCTCCGCGTGGGGACGGCCGCGAGCCCCGGGCCCTGACTCGCGGGCTCTGCTCTCGGTTCGGCAGCGAGTGCCGGCACCAGCTGAAGTCCCTGGACGGGGAGGCGGAGGCCTACAAGAAGTCCATCGTGCGGGAGGAGGAGGAGAACGAGAAGCTGGCGAGCCTCCTGCACCGGGCGGAGACGCAGGCGGGCCTGCTGCGGAAGCTGACCGCGCAGTGCCTGGCCAGGCAGGAGGTGCTGCAGAACCAGGTCAACACCTACCGGCTGGTGCTGCAGGACACGGAGGACGGGCTGGGCCGGGCCCGCATGGAGCACACGACGGCCGTGGGCGAGCTGCAGACGGTCCAGCAGGCCATCCGGCATGAGCTGGAGCTGCGGCAGAAGCTGGATGCCTGCATCGTGGAGAAGCTGCAGGAGCACCTGACCTCCAACAAGATGACCAAGTACTTCCACCAGCTCATCCTGAAGCTGCAGAAGGAAAAGACCAACCTAGTAAGTCCTGCACCCCCCCACCCCCACCAACACCGCGACAGAGGGCGTCCCGGGGACAGTGGGGGAGGGGTGCAGCCCACAGACCTGCCAGTCACTCGCAGCAGAACCCACGGGGGCAGGGGCTTTGGCACGTCTCTTTGCTTCTCTCTTTTTTTTTTTCTTTTTTTCTTTTTTTTAAAGATTGTATTTCTTTCTTTTTAGACAGAGGGGAAGGGAGGGAGAAAGAGAGGGAGAGAAACATCCATGTGGTTGCCTCTCACGCGCCTGCACTGGGCGCCTGGCCTGCAACCCAGGCCGGTGCCCCGACTGGGAATTGAACCAGGGACCCTTCGGTTCACAGGCCGGTGCTCAACCCACTGAGCCGCACCAGTCAGGGCACTTCTCTCTTTTTCTAGCTGTAAAAGCAACACGTGTTTATTTCAGAAAATCGGGAAACGCAGACAGGCAGGAAGAGGGAAGTAAGGCAGGTGTCCCGGGATAGTCCTTCTGGAACGTCGGCACGTTTCCTTCGGGAAGTGTTTCTAAACACACGCGTGCATACACGTGCCACCAAATAAGTGCATGCACGCAAGGCACAGGGAAACGCGCGCGTGCCCATCCATGTGCACACACTCGTGGCCGCCCAGAAACGCGTGAGCACGCACAGGTCCTCGCACCTTAACCAAGGACTCACACGTGCTGGCGGTTAAGTCCATTCTAATCCATGTTCATGAATTTTCCTGAAATATGCACAGAAGCGCAGAAGCAGTAAGTGTAGAGTCCAATTTTTCATTCTGTCCGTGGTGTTTTATTTTACTTTATTGACCGTATTTAACAACATTTTTAAAAAAATCCTTTGACAACCTACACTGGTGTTTTTATATCGTCGCATCTCCTCAACGAATGTATGCATTTTGTCAGCAGTTCTCTATGAGGCAGGGGAGGCGGTTTCTCGGTGTCCGACAGTATGAACAGCTCAGCAGGGGCGGGCTCCCTCCAAGTCCTCGTCCATCGCCCGAGGGCGAGGCTCTGGGGCAGGAACCCCGGGTCAAAGGGTAGGAGTGTTTTTGTTTTTGTTTTTGTACTGAGATTTTATTTATTTATTTTTAGAGGGGAGAAGGGAGGGAAAAAGCGAAGGAGAGAGACATCCATGTGTGGCTGCCTCTCATGCTCCCCCTACTGGGGACCTGGCCTGCAACCCAGGCCTGGGCCCCGACTGGGAATCAAACCATGACCCTCTGGGTCGCAGGCCGGCGCTCAGTCCACCAAATGGACCTCAGGACCCCCAAGCACCTGCCTCACCGAGCTCGGCCCGAGTCCCTGAGGGGGATGCGGTCTTGCTGGCCCAGGGGTGCCCCGCGCCACACCATGAGCTCTCTCGATCTCCTGGGTCTTGCCTCGCTCTGCCCTGTGGTCCCAGGTCCTTAGGTCCTTGGAAAAGCTTGAATTGTTTCTCCTTTGCCTGTTCCCGTGCTGGGACCCTGCTGGAGGCCCCTGCGGAGGCCGCTGCAGCCGGTGCCCACCGGCAGCGCATGCCCCGCCCCCCACTTAGGCCTCAGGGGGACGGGCGGGTCCCGCCCGTGGATCCTTGGAGCAGGCACCAGGTGAACCGCGAACGTACACCCGTGCGTTTCGGCCCCTCCCGCGTGTCCCACCTGTGTGACCACCCCAGGCTGTTGGCGGGGTGGCCGGTGGGGAGCCCAGGTGGAGGTGCCAGGCTTTGGCGTGTGGCCTACGCTCTTCCCTGGCACAAGACCCCCAGGTTTCAGCGGGTCGGCTCTAACCATGTACAGGATTTGAGCGCGCTGTCTGGAGAGCACCCCCTGACTACCACTGTTGTTGCGGGGACCCGCAGCCCAGCTGGCGGCCTTGCTTGTCCTCCTGGGGGGCAGAGGCAGGGCTACTGTCTACCTGGCGGCCGCCTGTCGCCGCCTCACGGCCCCCAGAAGCCTGGGAGGAGGGTGGGCAGCTGTCCTGGCTGTGCCGAGGACGTGGGGGACACGGGGCTGGAGCCGAGCCTGCGAAGACCTGCACCTCCTGGGTTGTCTGGCTGCCCCTGGGGGGGTTCCGCCAGGCCGTTCTCTGGGAACTTGGGGCAAGACCAGCAGCTGGGAGCGAATGTGGGGCCCTGGGCTGCGCTGCAGAAGCTAAGGAGTATGGTGGGTGTGCAGCAACCTGTGCGACCCCCCTGGATACCTCTGAAGCCTGCCCCCAGGCCCCCAGGCCCCCAGGCCCTGCCCTGTCCTCCAGCCGCCCTCCAAGCTCGTACATGTACTACCAGCAGTGTCCAGAAGAGGGCAGTAAAGGGTCTGCTCAGAAACCCCCCTGGCTGGGGGCTGGGGGCAGGCGGCAGGCGGGGCAGGGCACGCCTGGGGTGAGACGCCATCGCCTGGGGCTGGGGGTCCAGAGGGGCTGGGGTGGGCGCGGGCCAGTGGTGGGCTCTAGGCAGTCCCTTCAGGAGCGGTGCTGACATCCGGGAGACCGGGTGACCTCAGCGGGGAGAAGAGCCTGGTAGTGGAGCGGGGGGTGCGGGGGGGTGCGGGCTGGTGACTGGGTGCCGAGCGCCAGGGCGGAGAGGAAGGCAGGGCCCTGTGAAGACCCCGGAGCGGCCTGGAGATCGCGGACGATCTGGGCAAAGAAAGGGGCCCGTGGTGTGACCCGAGCTCAGTGGGCAGGAGGCCCCAAGACTGGCACCGCAGGGCGCGGGGGCTGGGGCTGCCGGGGGCCTCTGCTCCGGGGGCCAGGACCTCCCACCAAACCCTAGAAGTGTTGCGTGTCCTGGAAAGTCACGCACGGTGGCTGGTCAGACAGTGCCCGTGGGGCGGAGTCCGCCGGGGCCAGGTCGGGAAGCCCAGGGGGCTGGGAGGGAGCTGAGACTGTGGGCGGCAAAGGCCGAGGGGCCGGCCAGAAGGGTCAGGGCAGAGCCACCACCCCCCCGGAAGGACCCGTTCCCAGGTGAGCTGCCTCCTCGCCTGAGCTGCACAGACGCCTTTGTGATAAACCCTGTGCCGTAGGAGGGTCCCGAGCCCGTCTGCCTTCCGAGAGCCCACGGAAGAGGCAGGGTGGGCCGGTCAGAGCCGCCGGACCGCGGCGGGCCCGCGATGCCCTCGCAGGGCGAGCGCCCCAGGGCCGCACGCCTCGGGCTGGGTGCTGGACAGCTCCCCCAGGGGGCCTTTTCTTTACAGGACTGTGTCCAGCTGTTGGGAAAGTATAGGGACATTTGTCCCACGAACACAAATGAGAAGTTGCGCGTCGGCCACGGCGTCATTTAGAGGGGGAAGGCGGATGACAGTGTGCGGACCCGGAGGGCAGGCACCCTGGTTTCCGCGGGCCGCCGGACGGAGGCGGGCTTGGCGGCCGCCGTGCCGCCCAGCCCAGGCTTCGTCGCAGGTGCCACGGGACGTGGCGCAGCCGTGGAGAGCCCTGTGACAGGAATGGAAGACAAGGCTCATCAAACGAAAGAGTGGCTCGCGCTCTGGTCGGGAGGCCCAGTGGGCTGGAGCGTCGTCCTGACCTGTAACCCGACGGCTGTGGGTTCGAATCCCAAGCAGGGCACACCCACACCTGGGCTTGGTTGGGGCGCACGCAGGAGGCGACCTATAGAGGCTGCTCTCATACGTCCGTGTTTCTCCCTCTCTCTCTAAAGTCAAACATTTCTTTTGAATCCGCCGGCGAGGATTTTCTTTAAAAGTGGCTTACAAACCTAAGTGTGTCGTGTGACCCTGGAAGGAGGGACAGGTTCCAGGCGGTGGCGTGGCCACACCTGCGGCAGGGTCAGGGGTGTTTACCCCTCACCTGTGTTTACACACTCTCGCATCATGTGTGTTACTGTCTGTTTAAGAAGAAACAATGAAGTGACCTTTCTTCATCGGGAGCAGTCCTCAGGGGCCAGGGGGCAGAGGAACGGCTTCCTGCCCCCCCCATAGGTGGGAAATTCCTCCAGGCCGGAGGCTAGGACAGGGCAGGTCCTCCTGCTCCGCTGGCGCCGCCCGGGAAAATCGAATGTTCAGACGTGTTTTCTTCTGCTAATGCAGGTGACACATCTCTCCAAAATTGACGGCGACATCGCCCAGACCACGCTGGACATCACAAACACCACCTGCAGGCTGGAGGTGCACCGGACGACGCTGGCCGAGCTGGACGGGGAGGTGACCACAATGAACGACCTCATCGGCAACAGCGAGAGCGAGATCTCCCGGCGCACGATCCTGATCGAGAGGAAGCAGTGCCTGATCAACACCCTCAGCAAGCAGCTGGAGCAGATGCTCTCCGAGCTGGGGGTATGCCCGGGCCGGGCCGGGCCACCGCTCACCGCTGGGCGCGCCTGCTCGTGCAGGGACCATCTTGTGGTTAGACATGCACGCGCGCGGGAAACAGCCCCTCCTTCCCCAGCCGTCTCCCGGCTGAAACGGCTCCTGTTGGGGCCGCGAGCCTTCGCTGTCTGGGCCGGGCAGCAGCTTTTGCAGGCATCAGGGGCCCGCCCCCCCGCCCCCACATTGTGGTGCGTCAGCAGGCAGGTGTGGCGGTGTCCAGTGACGCCTTATTTATGCCACTGAAGTTTGATTTCTGTGTAACTTTCATCGGCCGTAAAATGTCCTGCTGCTGCTGCTGCTGTAGCGTGCAGCCCGCGGGCCGTGCAGAGACGGGCAGTGGCGGGCGTGGACCCGCGGCCTGCAGCTCCAAGTGAGGCGGGCCAGGTTGGAGGCTGGACATCCTGTGGGTTTTCCAGGTGCTGCTCCCTGAGGACCCCAGCCTGGGCCTCCAGCCCCAGGGCAGGGCGAGTGGTGACTCTCAGGTCGGCCCCAAGCCCCCGTGGGCTCTGTGAAAGCCGCCCCCGGTTGGGGGGGGCGGGTCAAAGGGAATAACGTCCCTGAGTGGGACAGTCTGCAGGGAAAAGACAATCTTCCAGGCCCCATCGGGTGAGCAGTGTCCCCCGAGCCTGCCACCTTGCCAGCAGCGAGGACCGCTCGCTGTCTCCCGCAGCGGGTCAGGCGCGCGTGGACGGGCCGGGGGACCGGCGCGGGGTGTCCAGGGTCCGGCGCTCTGCCGCCCAGCCAGAGAGCAGGCCTCGGCCAACACGGAGGGCTCCTTTTGCCTTTTGTCGAATGTCCTCCCAGGGGGAAGAGCTGGGGCCGCTCGAGCTGGAGATGAAGCGGCTCAGCAAGCAGCTGGACGAGCAGAGCGCGGCGGTGACGCGGGCGCAGGCCAGCTGGCTGCGGCTGCAGCAGGAGATGGTCAAGGCCACGCAGGAGCGCGAGGGGCAGCTGGCCTCCCTGCACCTGTCCCGGAAGGAGGTCCGCATCCTGGAGCAGAAGAAGCTGCGCATCGAGAGTAAGGGCCTGGGCTCAGCGCCCGGCGGCTCCGCGGCCCGGGGCGGGGGCCGCTGCGCGGGGGGCGCCGCTGGCTCTGACGAAGCCTCAGAGGCAGACCGGCGACGCTTGCGGCACAGGTGTGAGTGTGGCTGTGGCCCTGACCCGCGGGCGGTGCGCGGTCACGGCGGCGGACGACTGAGAAAATGCACTGAATTCGTTACGTTCCAGACTTCAGGGTGCCGCCGCCAGAGAGCGCCCCCAGAAGGGGGCCCTCCAGCCCGAGACAGGGCGGCTCAGCTGAAATCGCCGGCACGCGGCGGGTCCCCGGGCCCGTCCCCTGCCCAGGGAGATAGGTGGCACCGTGGTGCCCCAGCTCAGGGCTTCGGGAAGAGGATCTTCTTCCTCTGCAGCTAAACTTAGAAAACGGTCCCACTCCCCCGACCCCGGCCCAGTCCCTGCCTCGCCCCAGGCTGTGTCTAAACCCTGGGGGTCTCCCACATGCCAAGGTGTCCGAGGAGGGGGGCCGGCATCCTGCCCGGAAGCCACCCACCCCACGGCCACCTGCTGAGGCACCGCGGCCCCTTCGGCCCCGTCTGGTTCCTGACCCGGGACCCGTGCAGGTCGCCCGGCCCGGCGGCCCCTGGGGCTGCTGCCCCGCGGTCAGGGCCCCTTTCCCCGAGCCGTCCTGCCCCCGGCTCGCCCTGACTTGGGCGCCAAACCCGCCCGTCGGAGATGGGGGTAGTTGTTTCCTCCTCCAGCCGCCGAGCGTGGCCGGGGTGCTGCGGGCGGGGGCGGGGCCCCTTTGCTGGACACATGTGTCCTCCCTCATCTCGCCCCCTGCCCGCCGGTCATCGTGCCCGGTCCTTCCAGGTCCTGGGAAGGCCAGGCTTTGGAAGCCAAGCAGCCAGAAGGGACCCGTCCCTCTCCTCTGGCCCTGGAGGGACATGATCGGGGAGGGGGCAGTGGGGCGGGAGGCGCGCTGCGGGGAGACAGGCCCGCTCCCAGTCCTCGGGACCTGACGCTCCGGCTGCCCCCGGAACCCCCGCTCTGCCACAGACAAGATCGACCAGGAGAAGAAGGAGCAGAAGGACATCGAGCGCCACCTGAAAGACCTGGACAACGACCTGCGGAAGCTCAACGTGCTCCTGAGCAAGAACCGCAGCAGCTCCGCGGACCTGCAGCAGGACAACCTGGTGACCGAAAACGAGTTCGTGCACGCGCTCAGGGTCAGTCCCCGCCACCCCCGAGCGCACCGGCTGACGGGGGGCCCCGCTGTGCGCACACGTGTCCTCCCGCGCCCACCGCACAGCCGTCCCCGTCCCTGCCCCCGCAGGCCGCGGAGCGGGAGGCCATCGAGCTGCGGGAGCGGCTGGGCCAGCTGGCGGAGGAGAAGGCGTCCATCCTCAGCAGCCTGGTGGAGGCGGAGTGAGTGCCGCGGGGAGGCCCTGGAGCCCGGGCTCAGGGAGGCGTCAGAGGAGCTCCCGCCTCAGGCGGCCTTGTGTCCCTTCAAAGACACCAGATCATGCTCTGGGAGAAAAAAATCCAGCTGGCCAAAGAGATGCGCGCCTCGGTGAGTTCGGAGACGGGCCAGACGGAGATCCGCGCCATGAAGGCCGAGATCCACAGGATGCAGGTGGGTGGGGCGCGGCGGGCGGCCCGGGGCCCGGGGCACCGCGACCGGCACGCGGGGCGCCGGCCTTACCCCAGGGCCTGTCCTTCCTGCACTGAACTAATCACAGAGCCACGCAGACGCGCGCAGACGCACGCGCAGCACGGCCCCAACCGCTGCTACTTCACCCCCACTGGGTGCCATCTCTGCACGCGGTACTTGAAAATGGGGCTTGAAAATGTTGCTTGTGACCGCAAACCTCATGGCCCACAAAGGGGGGCGTATCCCGCTGTTGGGCCAGAGAGGGCACCACTTGGTACAGGGTTCAAGGAGTGCACCCCCGCGTCCCTGGGGGCCCTCTGCGCATGACCGCTCTCTGCTGCTGCCTTTCACTGGGTTTCCTGGCCTTAACGAGGCCAGCGATTAAATCACATGCTGTCACTGAACCGAAGGTCCGGGGCTTGAAGGACGCAAATGCGAGCAGGTCGTCAAAGTCGATGGCACATGAGTCTCACAGGCTGGTTTTAATCATCAGCCCCTTGGCTGGGCGCTCAGAGGGGCTCCGATCAGACGCGTGTGCTCTGGACGCCTCAGAGGCAGACGCCCCACCTCACTGGCATTTCCAGCCGCAGAAGCCGTGCCTGTGGCTGCAGTGGGCCCACGCTCCAGCCTCGCCCACGCAAACACACAGATGGGCCGCCCCGCCCGCCTGCGCTCCTGCTGGCCGTTTGCTTTTTCTTTGACGAAAAATAAGATGCATACCTGTAAGTTGGCAACTTCCGTTTAAAGGGCCATGTGGGTGTCAACCCATTCTTGAACAGGCACAGAATATGCTACGCACGTATAATCTATGGAAACAATCCCAGGATGATGACAAGCAAGCCTGGTTGTTTCTAGTTGTTTAGTCACTATAAACAATGTTGTGATAATATCCCTACAGCGGCTCCCGTATCTGCAGGGCATGCGCACCAAGACCCCAGGGGATGCTGGAAGCTCCGCATAGAACCAAGCCTTCTATGTGCTATGTTTTTTTTCTCTCTTACAAGATTTTATTTATTTATTTTTAGAGAGAGAGAAACATCAATGTGTGGTTGCATTTCGTGCGCCCCCTGCTGGGGACCCGCCCTGCAACCCAGGCTTGTGCCCTGGCTGGGACTCGAACTGGTGACCCTTACGGTTCGCAGGCCGGCCCTCAATCCACTGAGCCACACCAGCCAGGGCGGTTTATTGGTCTTTGTCGCATTTGACCATCCCCTGAGTGGAAAGAGGCTTCTCCGTGCCACGTGGATTCAGGATTCACCAGCTGGCTCACCAGCTGTGCGCGCGCGTGCGCGCGCGTGTGTGTGTGTGTGTGTGTGTGTAGGCGTTTGGTCAGTTTCTTCCTGGGCTAGTAGCGTATTTCCTAGCAGGTTTCAGGATCTCCTGGGTACTCCTTTTGGGGCCCAGACCCCCGCCTTTGATACCTCGTCCAGGGACTGTCCCCACTCTTGGTCTTTCTGGTTTGTGTGGGGTCCCTTCCCCTCGGCGAGTCTTGAGTGTTTCTGTCGGGTGACATGTTGGTGCTTTCTCTGTACGGCTTCTGGGTTTCCTGCATGGCTTCAGCCCCCCGCCCCCCACCCCCCAAGCGTGAAGTTGCCTGACTCTATTCCCGAGCTCATTTCAATCGCTCGCACGCATTTAGACCTTGAGCGCGCCCAGGATTGATTCGGGGCGATGGGCCATCTCCCCTTCCTCGCGGCTGGGGAGCCAGTTTTGCCGACAGCAGGTCCTGAGTAATCTGTTCTCACCGGCTCGACCACCGCGGTGACCGCAGCGGCTCCCCCGTGTGGCCTGGCCTTCCCCTCCACGCTCTGCTCTGTTGTGACAATGACACCAACAAGGCGGTCGTCACTTGCGGTCCACATTAAACGGGGGGGGGGGGGTAGGTCTTGCCCCACCGTTCTTAACTGAGGAGTCCTTGCCTGTGTATCCTTTTTTGACTCGGAAGCAGCTGCGCTGAGGCGTAGCTCGCCTACCGCAACAGGCGCGTATTTTAAACATACGGTGAGTCTGGACACACGTGCCCGTGTGTGTGTGACTGTCACCGCGATCAAGCCCCTTCTGCCGCTCCCAGAAGGCCCCTCGCGACCCTTCGTCGCCCCTCACCACCGCCCCAGCCCCAGCGCCGTCCCCAGACCACGGCGCGCCTGTCCCAGCGGAGACGTTAACCCCGGACAAGGCGAAGAACCCAACTGCGAACTGCGACCCGGTCCCACCGGGGCTGGGGCCCACGGCCCTGTTCCGCTCCAGGGCCCGGCCGGGCTGCGCGTGGTCCGCGTGCGGCCTGACCTCGCCCCCCTGTCTCCGACCGGTTCTCAGGGTCGCCCTGTTTTCCTTTCATTCTCTCTGTGGACCTCCACAGCCCTCTGTCCAGGGGACAAGGCACCCAGGTCCCCCGTCCTCTGGGGGCACTGCCCTCGCCCCACCGGCCTCCACCCCGCCCCTCCGCCCCGTGTGCACAGGTCAAGCACGGGCAGCTGCTGAAGCAGCAGGAGAGTCTGATCCGCAACATGGAGCTGGCCGTCGCCCGCAGAGAGACCATCGCCACCCAGGCGGAGGGGCAGAGGAGGATGGACAGGAAGCTTCTCACCAGGACCGACTTCCACCACAAGCAGACAGAGCTGCGACGGAAGATCAGGGACCTTCACAAAGTAGGGAGCCTGCCGGGGACGGCCCACCCCGAGGCTGGCGTCCGCCTGCCCCCTCCCTTCGGGTTAGCGGGCGTCGCCAGCCTCACCGGCAGGCGTCGCTGACCTCCAGGGAGTGGACTGCAGCGTGGGTTTAGTGGGGACTCGCCCCCCTTCCCCATACCACCTGGGTCACAGCCGCAGAGGGGCGGGGCTATTTTTGTCCCCTCTGGGGATCTTCCCACACCACGTGCATGTGCCCAGGGCCTGGCTCCGCTCTGTCTGCAGGACACCCGGGACACAGGGCCCCACGCCAGTCCCGTCTGTCCTTAGGCCACCCAGGAGTGCAGCAGCAACATCCAGGAGCTGGAAGAAACCCAAAAGCGCGTGAGCGACTCCCTTCTGGAGAAGCGGACACAGCTCTCAGCCGCGCAGGCGCATAGCGAGGAGCTGGAGGCCAGCCTGGAGCAGCTCAAGGCCGGCAAGCGACAGGTAGACTGGCCCTGGGCCACTGGGGCCGCGAGAGCCCAGGCTGCGGGGTCGCGTGGAGCAGCAGACCCTGGGCCGCGGGCACCGCCTCCTCCTGGCCAGCCGAGCCCGGCCGGTGGCAGCCCCGCCAAGCACTTGGTGACCCTCCGTCCATCCCACACGCGTCGGCCTCCTGCCGTGGTCCAGGCTCGGCCCTGGGTCCCGGGGCTGCCTAGCGGGACAGAAATGACAGCAGCTGCTGTCCCCGAAGCTGCGTCCCGGGGCCAGGAGGCCAGGTGATAAACCCCAGAGCCAGACAGAGCTGTGGGGGGTTAGAGGTGGCGGTCACTCTGGAGAAAAATAAACAGTGTGGGGTGGAATTGCACTTTTAGGAGGGGGGTCAGAGGCAATGACATCTGAATCAGATGGAAGGAGGCGAGGGAGGGAGCCGCACCAGGCAGGGGGCAGTGGGCCCAGCCGGAGCTCGAGGCTGCCCCAGGCCGCCCGAGGCCGCAGGCTGGCTGCAGGGAAGGGAGGCCGCCCCTTGGGGACCGTGACGGTGACTCAGGCTTTTCGCTGGGGCAGCAGGAAGACACTGGACGGGTATGGGCGGGGGACGGGGGGAGACGGTCGCGTTAGCAGCATCTCAGGTTCGGAGGTTGAGCGAGGGGTAGAGGGCGACCGGTGGACACAACGGGAGGCCTGTCTGAGGTCCCCGCCGTACGAAAGGAGGACAGTGACCTGCAGATGGGCCGCCGCCCACCGTGGGGGCACCGGGCCGCACTCCAACTCACTCGGAACTGCAGAGCCGTCCCCGCGGGATTGCCTGCGAGACGGGACAGTGTGAGGAGCAGAGGGCCCGGCAGGACTGGGGGCCTGGGACTGGTCAGCTGGGACAGGGCCCCTTGCCCCTTCGGCAATGCAGGAAAGCTCTCCCCCAGCCCGGTCCCCTAGGCCCGGCCGTCCCTTTCCCTGGAAGCTCTGCTCCGTTATTTCCTCAAGCCGGGGCTTGTAGGGGGCCGGTGGGCATCCTCTTTAAACTTGCACAGCCCGACGCGGGGTCTCTTGTCCCACCCAAGAAACTCTCGGAGCTCGTGGCCCTGCAGACGCGCCTCAAGCACCTGCAGGCAGTGAAGGACGGCAGGTACGTGTTTCTCTTCCGCTCCAAGCAGTCGCTGCTGGAGGAGCGCAGGCGCCTGGAGGACCGGCTGGCCGCCATCGGCACCATCCTCGACCGCGTGCAGGACGAGCACCCCCAGTTCCAGGGGGCCCTGCACAAGCTCAGGCAGACAGTGGCCAGCAAGCTGGACGCCCCAGGGCCCGCCGTCTAGGAGGGGGCCTGGCCTGCGCCGCCCAGGGAGGCCGGCCCCCTGGGGAAAGGCCTGATTGTGTGTACCACTGGGGACAGGGTCTCTCTGTGTCCTGAAAGCCCTGTCTGCCCTCAGAGGATGACACTACTTATGAGAAATAAATAGGCCAGCACGGCGGGAAATTTTTCTAGCCACCCACCGGTTTAAACCAAGTCAAATCCCAACGTTTCTGTGCGCACTTAGGCAAGGCCTCCCTTGCAAAGGCAGCGCCTGTGGGCACAAACTGTGTTCCCAGGCTGCACTCGCTCCCCCCAGGGAGACCTGGGTGGGGGAGGGGCCCCCGCCTCTGCCCGTGGAGTGCTCGGCGGGGCTGGGCTCCTCTTCACGTGCGCTGGCGCCCGCTCTGTCTGATGGGGGAGCAGAGACGGGCCCCCGGAGAGCTGGAGGGTGCGGCCCTCAGGCCCCAGCGCCCGGCTCTTCAGAAAACCCACAGCGCCTCTTCTCATGCGCAGCTCGCCCGTTCCCCCCCGCCCCCCAGAAAACTCGGGGCCCTTCTCCTGCCCCCGCTCCCAGCCTGGGTGAAATCCCGATTCTCAGCTCAGGGGACAAAGTGCAGGGGCAGTCACTGCCCTCGGCTGTTTACAGAGACCAACAACTGCAATGAGCCCGAGCCGTGGGTCCCCGGCCCGCCTTCATTGTCCCGGCCCCACACCCAATTCCCGAGCACCTGTTGCCTGTGGTTTCTCTGTAAAGGGAAAATCGTCTACAAAATAATTTCACTTTCAAACTTTTCAACAGGAAAATAAAAATTTTTTTTCTGACTATGGAGGAAGGTGTGTTTATTCTAAAACAATAGAGAAAGACAAACCGTGAAGAAGCGGGGAATGCCCTACGCTTTGCCAGGTGCATGCCCAGCGCCCTGCTGGTGAGAACTCCGCTGGGCAAGATCCCGCTGGGTTCAGCTTTGGGGATCCCCTGTGAGAAGCTCGCTCCTCTAAACAGAAGCATTTTCTCACTGTATGAGAAATTCCCGGTAAATGTCATCTAACGTTTTCACCACAGTCGAGTTTGTGGGTCACGACGTTTTCCTTTATGCAGTGAGTTACTAAGTTTAAGTTGATTAAAGTTGCTTCCAACTGTTCTCTATCTTTGCCATTTCGATGCCAAGCATCTGCGCCCGCTTTTCAGGCTAAACTGGCAGGATGCCTGGCCAGCTCCCAGGGAGCTCGACAGCCGCGGGGGCGTGCTCACGGGTGGGTGTCGCCCCCTCCCCGAGCCCGAAAGGCAGGGCTTCGTCTCCGAGCGCCGCTCCCCGGAGCGGCGGTCCCCGGCCAGGCGCGCGCCGCTCACCCCTCCCACATTCCAGGTGCGCGGCTCGAGGAGGGCGAGGCTGGCCCCGGCGGCCCCGCTCGCTCCTCCACCAGGGGGCGCACGGCCGGGGGAGCGCATCCTCACTCAGGGCGCCTGCGCGGCGTCTGGTCACGTAGTCCACTGGCTCACGCCTTGGCGCGCGCCCGGCAGCACCAGCCCACCGGTCGCCGCTGCGGACCGGGCGCGCTTGCGCAAGAGAGTGCGGGACCCGGAGCTGAGCGCGCGTGCGCGGAGGTGAGTTTGCCCGGACTCGGCGCGCGTGCGCGGAGGTGAGCGGCCGCGGGTAGCGGGCCCGGGGCTGCTTGCGGTCCCCGCGAGGGGCCGGGGTGGTCTGATGCAGCCCTCCTGGCGAGGGGCTTGGCAGGTTGGGGCAGTCGTGACGCCCGCCCGGGGGAGGGATCGATGGACCGGTCACTGTGATTCCCTAGGCGAGAATCTGGGCACGTCGTCCCAGGGTCCGCGCGCGGCGGGGTCCCCAGCAACGACGCGGACCCCGGAAACCGCACGGTCCTCGTTCAGCCCCGCGGTGCCGGGCCAGGAAGGCTTCGCTGGCCCATTTCACAGGGAGGGAACTGAGGCACGGGCGAGCTCTTGTTTGCCCCTCCAGCGGTAGAGCTGGGCTTTGAACCGTCTGGTCTACGCCGCCACCCTGGCCTGGGAACAGGGTCTGGGCCACTTCCCTGAAAGCGGTGACGGGCTCCTGGAGAGCAGCAGCGCGGGACCGCCTGACCTTCAGTTCTTCCCCATTTTCTCTACATTGTCCACCCCCCAACACACACACATGGCTTCCCCCATTTCTGGGACGTCTTCCCCGGTGGGAGGGGTGTGGCGCTCGTCCCGCCTGTGCCGGGCACCACCGCAGCTCTGAACTTTGAGTGGCAGGGTGGGTGTTGCCAAAGAGCCCCCGACCCGAAGACCCCGCAGTCCACCCTGAGTTCCCTCGTTTCTGAGTCATCGTGATCACAGCTGTCAGATGTGTCTGGAAGGGTCAGGTGGAGCTGGGACACCTTGTGATAGAAAATATTCAGTCTTTGTCCCCCAGGCCTGAACCCCTGGTGTCTCGGGAGTGATGAGTGTCTTTTATATGCTAATGAGATGGTGGGTGGCTTGGGGCTGGTCCCCAGGACAGGCTGGGCTCAGGGTGGGAACTTTCACCCAAATGTCTGGGGAGTTAATAAGGGATGGTGACTGATCGCCAATAGCCGGTCATCTAATGAATTGTGCCTGCAGAATGAAATCCTAAGTTGCTTGGGGTTTGGAGAACGTCCAGGCTGGTGACCACGTCTTGATGCCAGGAGGGTGGCCAGGCTCCGGGAGGGTAGGGAAGCTCCGCATCCCTTCCCCAAATCTCAGCCTCCGGCGGTTCCGAGTTGTGCCCTTTATAAAAACCTGGGTTCTGACTTGTCGAAGCCAGTACTGAACCTGAGGAGGCTGGGGGTTGTGAAGCCTCGAATTTCTAGCCGGGTGGTCAGGAGAGTGGGGCTCAGGACTGGTGTCTGAGGGGGGTCTTGGGGCCTGAGCCCTGCACCTGTGGGGGCGTTGGTGTCAGAACGGAACAGGTGACGGCAGCGCGGCAGCTCTGCTCCGAAGCCCACCGCTGTCCTGAGACCCGGCAGCTTCCGGCCCGGGACACTGCAGCAAGCCGCTTTGGGCGCCCCGGGCGCCGCGATGGCCCGCTTGGGCTCCAGGACCCCTCCCAGCCGGTGGCCTTGTCAAACCTTGCTCAGCCTGCATGGTGGCCCGGGACACTGGGACCCAGCCACTGTCCCCACCCTCCTGTGGTGTCAGTCTTGCGTGGGGTGCGATGGCTTCTCCCAGCCTCCCCAGCAAGTCCCCATCTTCTTAGACAGAAAGTGTCCCCTAGTAGAGCCCCTGTGTGCTTGGCCCCACATTGGTGTGTGTGCTCCTCGGGGGAGCTGGGCCAGCAATGGTTCTTATAAAACACATAGAACGCGCAGATAAGCAAAAACGTGAGGCCCCAATGCCGCCTCTGCGACAGGCTCCCCTGGACGGCCGGCTGGTGCGCCCCCAGCCCGACCTCTGGCCAGGAGGGGCTCGCGGGCCGTCCCTGGGTGCTGCCCTCGGCCGCAGTGCTGGACACTTCTGCCCGGCTGTGACCCTGTGCGCGTCCGTGGCGGGTGGGTGGGGCAGAGGGAGGTGGCGGGTGCCTCTAAGGATACTCCATTGGTCACAACTTAATAACCTCAGTCTTTATGCAGGAATGGGCTCACTCTATCACTCTTGGAACTTGCTCGTTCCACTTGTCAGTGTACCCAGTGGGTCTTCTTGTGTCATTACGTCATTTTTACAGATCTTCCAAATGCATTTCATTTCTGATATTTCACGTTGTTCCGCTCCCCCCCGCACATTTGGGATTTTCTCTCCTTCCCCTTTCTCCCCGCCCCTGCGTCTGTCTGAATGGTGCTGGGCCCCTGGCCCAGCCTGCCTGCCTCCTCGGCAGAGCTCACCTCTGGGCCGCTCGCGGGGTGCCGTCCGGAGGCTGCGCAGAGGGCCCCGAGGAGGCCTGGCCGCTCCCCACTTCCCTCTCAAGCCTGGTTCCTCTCTTCACAGGCCACCGGAACGGGTCCCCACAGGCAGCGCCGAGACCATGGGCCATCGGTGGCCGCCCTGCTCCCGCTCCCTGCTGGGGGCCTGCACCCTCCTGTCCTTGGCCACCGCTGCCCTCCTGGGGCACATCCTGCTCCACGATTTGGCGGCCTTCCCCCAAGAGCTGCGTGGCTTCTCTCAGGAGCCCAAGGAGAAGAACGGAGCCCACCAGCAGGGAGCCGGCAGCCCGGGGCCCCGCCCCCGCCCAGGAGCAGCGCCCACACAGTGCGACGTGCCCCCCAACAGCCGCTTCGACTGCGCCCCCGACAGGCCCATCACCCAGGAGCAGTGTGAGGCCCGGGGCTGCTGCTACGTGCCCGTGGGGTGGGCGCGGGGCTCCCGGATGGGGCCGCCCTGGTGCTTCTTCCCCCCCAGCTACCCGAGCTACCGGCTGGGGAACCTGACCACCACGGACACGGGCTACACGGCCAGCCTGGCCCGCGCCGCCCCGACCTTCTTCCCCAAGGACATCCTGACCTTGCGGCTGGACGTGCTGCTGGAGACCGAGAGCCGCCTCCACTTCACGGTGGGCCGGGCCCGTGTGGGGACGGCCAGGGTGTGGGGACAGAGGGATGGGCCCCCGGGGGTCTGCTTACTGCACGCCTGTGCGTCCTGCCCCCTCTGGGAGTCCTGGCGTGAGCACCCCCGGCCCCCACACTCAGGGAGCCGTGGCTGCTGGGATAGTGGGAGGAGAGGGGATGTTCCGGAGGGGGGTGGCGGGATCGCGGCCCCTGGAACTCAGTGGGCACCGAGCAAGGGCACTGCGGCCCGCGCCCAAGTGCAGGCGCAGAGAGGAGAGCGGGCACCCCATCCAGGCGGCCCTGCCGTCCCAGCAGCGCTTACCACGCCACTGCTCGCTGCGTGGCCCCCGCGCTCCAGACAAGGGCTGGGGCTCTGCGCCTCGGCGGCCGTCTGTGACTGGCCGAGGAGTGTTGCCGGGCCCAGCGTGTGGACATGCAGCAGCGCAGTGACCTTGAGCTGGACACTCAGGGGCCGAGCTGTGCTTTCGGTGCAAGTCCCGCGCCACAGTGGAGACATCCCTAACCTAAAAAAAGCTCTTTCTCTGAAATGTGGGTTCACTGGGCAGCCTGTACTTTACCAGGCTCCACAGCGGGTGGGCCGCTGGCTCGGTAGGTGAGGAAGCTGAGGCTCGGGAGGGTGGCTGCAGCTCCCAGGCTCATGGTCTGCACGGCTGTGCTGGGGCGGAGCGGTCCCCTGGCTCCCCAGGAGGGCACAGGGCAGCGTGGCAGGTGCAGGGACAGCTGCCGGCTCAGACGTGGCCTCGCGACGCCACTGTTCTTGTCTAGATCAAAGACCCCGCCAGCAGGCGCTACGAGGTGCCCATGGAGACCCCGCGAGTCCGCAGCCGGGCGCCATCCACGCTCTACAGCGTGGAGCTCTCCGAGGAGCCCTTCGGGGTGGTGGTGCGGCGGAAGCAGGGCGGCCGCGTGCTGTGAGTGCCCCGGCCGCGGTGGGAGGGTCAAGGAGCTGGGACGCCATCGTCCCTGACCCCGTCCCGGTCTCCCCGCCGCTCGGGCCTCCTTGCTGGAGCTCAGGGCCGCAGCGCCCAGGTCAGGGAGGGTTGGGGACAGTGCTGGCCTCCTGGGGCCGGTCTGGGATGGCGCGGCGCGGCTGGGCAGCCCCCTTCTCTGGATGTGCCCTGGGCGCTCCCCGCGCAGTGTCAGGTCCCCGGGTTGTGGGGCTCCCTGGGGCTGCTGCCGCCCCGAGGTCAGGCCCGTGCAGAGCTGGCCAGGCCACTCTGGCCTCCTCAGGGACACTGGGCCTGGCGAGGGCCCACGCCAGGGTCCTGTGGCCTCTGTGGCGGCAAGGCCGCTGGCCTCTCCTCGGCAGGCTGAACACGGCGGTGGCGCCCCTGTTCTTCGCCGACCAGTTCCTGCAGCTGTCCACCTCGCTGCCCTCCCAGCACGTCGCCGGCCTGGCCGAGCACCTCGGCCCCCTCATGCTCAGCACCAACTGGACCAAGGTCACCCTCTGGAACCGGGACCTCGCGCCCGCGGTGAGGGGCGCCCCAGGCGGGGTGGGGCGGGCTGGGAGAGCCGCAGGGCGGGGGGGCCAAGAGCCGTGCCCTCTGTGCCACAGCCCGACGCGAACCTGTACGGGTCCCACCCCTTCTACCTGGTGCTGGAGGACGGCGGGCTGGCCCACGGCGTCTTCCTCCTGAACAGCAACGCCATGGGTGAGTGAGGGCCGCGCATGCCCCCGCCCCGCCGGCTCGGAGCGCCCAGGCCGGGCCTCCGGCACAGCCGCATCCCCTCCTTGGCAGACGCGGCGCAGGTCTCTGCGCCCGGCCCGGCTGGCGGGGGGATGGGAGGGACCGTGGACTGGGCCCAGGCATCCTGGCTCTTCGGAGGAATGAGCCCAGCAGGCTGTGGCCTCTCCAGCTCGGCCCTTCAGCTCTGCGGGTGGGAGGAGGCAGGAAACGGGAGTCCTGAGGTCCAGCTGCTTGGCATGGTCCCCCGCCCCCGAGCGGGCTGGTCCCAGGCTGCCTGTGGGGGGACACCCCTCTGCAGAGGTGGCTTGGTCCCCCCCCCCGTCTGTGAGGGCCCGCAGCCCCGGGGGCGGGCAGGTGTTCGCCCCTGAGCCCCAGGCTGCCCCCCGCAGATGTGGTCCTGCAGCCGAGCCCCGCCCTCAGCTGGAGGTCGACGGGCGGCATCCTGGACGTGTACGTCTTCCTGGGCCCTGAGCCCCAGAGCGTGGTGCGGCAGTACCTGGACGTCGTAGGTAGGCCCACTGCGTGGCCCAGCGCACCCCTCGCACACGCCGCCCGCCCGTCCTCAGCCGCCTGTCTGTCCCGCAGGCCGCCCGTTCCTGCCGCCCTACTGGGCGCTGGGCTTCCACCTCTGCCGCTGGGGCTACTCCTCCACCGCAATCACCCGCCAGGTGGTGGAGAACATGACCCGGGCCCGCTTCCCGCTGGTGAGTGCTGGGGGTTGGGGCCGGCGGGGGGCAGGGCGGGGAGGCGCGGGCTGCCGGCTGCCCCCCAGGCCCCAGCGCCCGGTGCCACTGCCGCGCTGCAGGACGTCCAGTGGAACGACTTGGACTACATGGACGCCGGGAGGGACTTCACCTTCAACAAGGACGGCTTCGGGGACTTCCCGGCCATGGTGCAGGAGCTCCACCAGGGCGGCCGGCGGCACGTGGTGATCGTGGTGAGCGCCCCCCTCACGCCTGCCGCGGTCGCTGAGGCCATTTGCCGAGCGTTCTTGACAGGGAGGGGTATCAGGTTCGCAGGTTTGGCCCCTGCTGCCAGCAATGTTCCTCTCAGCGTCCCTGGGGACACCTGTCTGCTGCTCAGGATCCTGAGGGGTGAGGGTCAGGGCTGCAGGCCTGGGGGGCTCAGCAGGCACCACCCAGCGCCGGAAGGGCAGGGGGCCTGTGAGCAGGGGTCACGTGTCTGCGTGCCCCGCCTCCCCAGTCAGCTGTCCCGTGGGAAGGCAGCAGGACCCGCACAAAGACACCCTCCCCGGGCCGGTCCCTGCAGGCAGCGGGTTCAGGGGCCCGCTGAGTGCCCAGCCCTGCGGCCACAGGAGGAGGGGGAGGGGTGGCAGAGGCCGAGGGGCCCCCACCGCGGGCGCCCGTCGAGGAAGTCCGTCTGCCGAGCAGCTCGGCGTCGTGCTGACGTTGGTCCCCCACCCTAGCTGCCCCTCCGACGGCAGCTGGCGCCAGCGGCCACTCGGCGGGAGGCAGACGCAGTCCTCCCTCCATCATCGTTCTGAGAGAAGTACAGGCCTGCGGCGGAGGTGGGCCTGCTCTCGGGGTGCCCCGCGACGGCGCGCGCTGCCTCGGGCAGCCGCAGGCAGGCCCTAGCTCGGTGTGCGGGATGCCCGGCGGCTCCGCCCCGCCACCGCGTCCCGCCCGTGGTCCATCGAGAGCGTTTCCCCTTTTCCCAGTGACTGGGCCCCAGGCTCAGGGCACTTCCTTCTCCCGCTGGCCCCTCTGACCCCCAGGACCCCGCCATCAGCAGCTCTGGCCCTGCCGGCAGCTACCGACCCTATGACGAGGGTCTGCGGAGGGGGGTTTTCATCACCAATGAGACCGGGCAGCCGCTGATCGGGAAGGTAGGGCGAGGGCCGGGGGAGGGGAGAGCAGGGGACCCCGGCCCAGGGGAACGGGGAGCCGTTCAGCGAGAGGGTGTGTCCAGTGGGGCTGACGGGGTGGGGGCCCAGCTGGGGGGATGGGGTTCCTGACAGGAAGCGCCCCCTGGAGTCCGTCCATCAACGGACCCCGGGCGTCACCCCTCTGGTCTCACACCCAGGTGTGGCCGGGGCTCACCGCCTTCCCCGACTTCACCAACCCCGAGGCCCTCGACTGGTGGCAGGACATGGTGGCCGAGTTCCACGCCCAGGTGCCCTTCGACGGCATGTGGATTGTGAGTGTGGTCCCGCCCTGGGGGCCCTTAGCCTGGGGGCCGGCCCCGGCCTCTGCTCTGGCTGACGCCCACCTCCGGGGCCTCCCTTGCAGGACATGAACGAGCCGTCCAACTTCGTGAAGGGCTCTGTGGACGGCTGCCCCGACAGTGACCTAGAGAACCCGCCCTACGTGCCAGGTGCGCTCCCCCACCTGCCGCCCCGGCCTGGTCGCCGGGGGCTGATGGCCCGGTCGGGCCCTCTGGTTTGGGACACCGGAAGCTGTCGTTCTGAGGAGCCGTGGACGCAGCCAGCCGGGAAAGGGGAGGGGACCCCGGAGCGGGGTGCGGGCGTGGGAGACGCCAGCAGGTGGCATGGACCCTGGCCGCACATCGGGGGGTCATTTCGGGCTTAGGCGAAGGGACCAGGACAGGTGAAGTAGGTCAGGGCAGGTGCACGCGAGCCTGGGGTCTGCAGAGGGCAGCCGTCGACGCCCGCTTGCCCCCGTCCTTGGAGACGTGGCGGTCAGACAGGGGCGCATCGAGTTCCAAGGGAAACAGCACCCCTCTCCCCCAGGAGTGGTTGGCGGGACCCTCCGGGCAGCCACCATCTGTGCCTCCAGCCGCCAGTTCCTGTCCACGCACTACAACTTGCACAACCTGTACGGCCTGACCGAGGCCGTGGCCTCCCACCGGTGAGGGCTCCGCGAGCGGCTTCAGTGCGGGGCGCAGGGAGGAGGCGGGGAGGGGGCCCAGGCCGCCCCCGGGTCGGCTGGTGGCCCGAGCCCTGGCCCCCTCGCCATGCTCAGCACTTCAGCGGGAGGCGTGGGCTGACCAGGCCTCGGGCTCCTGGGAGCCAGGAGGGACGACCGTCCTCCCTGTGACGCGGAGCGTCTTTGCGGGTAGTCGGGCGGCTCGCGTGGGGCTGACCGCCCAGCAGGTGTTGGCGGCCCTCGCCTCCCCCCTCCCTCGCAGCTCTGTCCCTGCTGCGTGGCCGGGCACCGTGACCCGCTCCGCACGCTCCCTGTCACCTGCTCCGCCCAGGGCCCTGGCGAAGGCTCGGGGGACGCGCCCCTTCGTCATCTCCCGCTCAACCTTCGCCGGCCACGGCCAGTTTGCCGGCCACTGGACAGGGGACGTGAGGAGCAGCTGGGAGCAGCTGTCCTTGTCTGTGCCAGGTGAGGGCCGGGGCGGGCGGGGGTGTGGGCCCCGCTTGGAGCTGTTAGACCGGGCGAGAGTCCCCCGGCCCCCGCCGAGCGGTGGTGGCGCCAGGCTGACCGGGAGACGGGAGCCCAGGGAGGCGCCGACACCTCCGCCCTAAGCAAGGGCCACACGCTGGGGCTCCAACACGGGCACCCCGCGCTGTTGCGGAGGCCAGGTGTCTGGCACAGTGTGTGGGCAGGGCCCGCTCCGCGGGGGACCCTCTCCCAGCCTCCCGTGGCGGCGGCGGCGGCCGCAGCAGCGCTCTGACCTGTCACTGCGCGGCTTTCCCCCTGTGTGTCTCTGTTCTTGGAAGGTCACCGATCATATTGGATCAGGGCTTAACGACTTCATCTTAACTTGGTCGTGTTTGTGAGGACCCTGTTTCCCAATAAGGTCATGGCCACAGTACAGGGGTTAGGACTGGACTGTTATCTTTCGGGGGGCGCTCGTCCACCCTCATGGGCTAGTCAGGGAGTTCAGGAGCACCCGCGTGGCAGGATGGATTGTCCTGCTGACCCCGATGGGACGCGCAAGGCCGGCTTGGGGCTGCCTCGGGGCCAGCGCAGAACACAGGCCTGCGGGCTCCTCGGCCCTGAACGGCCCCGTCGGACCCTGCAGAAGTCCTGCTCTTCAACCTGCTGGGGGTGCCCCTGGTGGGGGCCGACATCTGCGGCTTCCAGGGCGACACGTCGGAGGAGCTGTGTGTGCGTTGGACCCAGCTGGGCGCCTTCTATCCCTTCATGCGGAACCACAACGACCTGCACAGCCAGGTAGGCGGGCGGCAGGGGTCCCGGTGGGGCCAGCGCCCCGGGGGCGGCCTGGCCGAGAGGCGCAGGGCTGTAGGGCATGGCAGCGGGGTCTCAGCCCAAGGCCCGTGCTCCCTCTGCCCCTCTGCCTCGCACAGCCCCAGGAGCCGTATCGGTTCAGCGAGCCGGCCCAGCAAGCCATGCGGAAGGCCTTCGCCCTGCGCTACGCGCTGCTGCCCCACCTGTACACGCTGTTCCTTGGCGCCCACACCAGGGGCGACACCGTGGCCCGGCCGCTCTTCCTGGAGTGAGTACCCCGGGTCGGGGACGATGGACCACAGGCGGTGACCCTGAGCCCAGGGACACAGGGCCAGCCCGTCGTGCTGCAGGGTGTTCCTGGAACCCAGCGAGCACATGTTGCAGGAGAGCGAGTCGAGGCCAAAACCAGGGCTCTGCCTGCGGGGGTGCCCTGTGGGCCCCCGTTCCCACCCACTGGATTCCAGCTCCGGGCTGGGGCATTTGAAGTCCAGAGACCCCGGACGCAGAGCACTGAGCGGGGACCGTACGCAGAGCGGCCTCACATCAGGAAAGCCGTCGCGGTCGAAGCTGGAGGGGGCGGTCGAGGGAAAGGGGCCCCGGCGCAGCCCTCGGCCACCCGTGAGCGGGTCCCGTTCTGACAAACGGCGCCTCGGCTCCGCGGCCTGCAGGTTCCCGCGCGGAAGGTCACGAGTCAGCTGTGGGAACCACCGGGTTGCCCTCCGCTCACCGCACAGCCCTGAGGTCCGGCTGGGCTCGCTCGGTCAACGCCGAACACGCGGCTGCGGAGGCGGCCTGGGGGGCGCACGTGGGCGTGCCTGGTGCTCGGCAGGGAGCAGCTTTCCAAGCTGCAGACGTGGGAGGGAAGGGAAGGAGGGTTAGTTTAGGAAAACAACACTTTTCTGAACACAAATGCTGAAGCTGCTCCAAATGCAGGTTGTAAAGGCAGACAAATCAGAGATGAGATGGCGTCGTGGGTAAAATGGCAAAGCATCCCGCTCCCTAGTATGTAAACGGCTCGGAGCATCAGCCAGACCCACAGCAAGAGCAAAGAGGCGGCGGGCCAGGGCACGCTGTGCTGACAGGAGACGCGGGGGCCCTCTGCCTGGCCTGTCCCGCGCCGCCGGACGGGGAAGGCCGCGTCCCTGCTGGCTCAGGTGTGGCCAGTCGGCCAAAAGCGGCCCCGCCCCCATGCTCTGGGCTTCCCGAGCCTCCCTGCGGGCCTCACCGGGACGCTGACCTCAGGCCTCCGCGCCCTGTCCCTCCTGCCCAAGGTTCCCCGAGGACCCCCGCACCTGGACCGTGGACCGCCAGCTCCTGTGGGGGGCGGCTCTGCTCGTCACGCCGGTGCTCGAGGCCGGGAAGGTTGAAGTGACTGGCTACTTCCCTGCCGGCACGTGGTACGACCTGCAAGCGGTGAGTCCTGGGTCCCTGAGCCCTGGCAGGACTGGGAGACCAAAGAGGCCCCTCCCTCCTGGCCCGTGGGCGGGCTCGGGTGGTGAGAGGCGAGCCCTGCCTGCCCAGCAGCTCGCAGGCCCCCACCCGCCCCGGCCGCTCCCCGCCCGTCCCTACCAGCCCCTGCAGGCGCCACCTGCCGGGCGAGCCCCTGAGGCCTGAGCGGTCGCTTGCCGGGTCCTGCGGGCCTCCCTGCCGCAGGCTGGGCCTCTGCCCCACAGCCACACCCGCCTGTCTGTGCCGGGCCCCCTGGGCCTCGGCGTGGAGCCCTGGTGACAGCACGGGCCTTGGCACTGCTCAGGACCCTTGGTGACGTGCCGTCCTCATCCAGGTGCCCGTGGAGGCCCTTGGCAGCCTCCCGCCTGCCCCCGCGCGACCCCTCAAGCCCGCCATCCACAGTGAGGGGCAGTGGGTGACACTGCCAGCCCCCCTGGACACCGTCAACCTCCACCTCCGGGCTGGGCACATCGTCCCCCTGCAGGTACGGGGGCCGGACCCTGGCAGCCGCGTGCAGGCCCCACGTGGTGCCTCCGTGCTGACCTGCGGGCCTGCGGCCGGGCGGGGCGGAGGGGCGGGGCCTGCTCGGCGGCCTTGGGCGGGCGTCAGCCAGCCCCGTGTGGCTGTGGGCCCCCAGCGCGGCGCCCTGTGGGACTCTGCCCTGGGCGGGCTGGCCACCACGGGTGCCCTGCAGACCCTGCGTCCCGGGCACGGGGCTGTCCCCCGGCAGCGTGCCCCCTGCTGCTGTCCGGAGGCCTCCGCCAGGCCGGCGGCAGCGACGTGCGCCCGCCCCGTTCCCAGGGCCCTGCCCTCACGACCACGGAGTCCCGCCAGCAGCCCATGGCGCTGGCCGTGGCCCTGACTGCGGGCGGGGGGGCCCGAGGGGAGCTCTTCTGGGACGACGGGGACAGCCTGGGGACACTGGAGCGCGGCGCCTACACCCAGGTCGTCTTCCTGGCCCAGAATGTGAGTCCTGGCCCTGCCCAGCCTTGGCGGGGGGGGGGCCATGCCTGGGGTCCCCAGGGGGCTGCCCGTGCCCTGGGGGGCGAGCCCGGTGCAGCCGCGCCCGCGCACGGGGAGCCGGGGTCTCGCGCGGGCCGGGGCGTGGTGCCCGCCGGCCCTCCCCCGAGGGCTGTCTGGGGCTCCCTGCCCGACGTGCCCTCACAGCCCGTTCCCTCTGCCTCACGCGGGGCCAGAACACCGTCGCGAACGAGCTGGTACGTGTGGACAGCGAGGGGGCCGGCCTGCAGCTGCGGAGGGTGACGGTCCTGGGGGTGCCCTCGGCCCCGCAGCGGGTCCTCGCCAACGGCGCCCCTGTCCCCAGCTTCACCTACAGCCCCGACACCCAGGCAAGAGCCGCAGGCCCTCAGACGGGGGCGGGGGGCGGGCGGGAGGGCCAGGGCCCTGGGACCCCGTGTCCCCCGGCCGGCCCCGGGGGCGCCTGCCTGCGAGGCCCGGGGCCCGGGGCTCACCTTTGCCGGCGCGGGTTCCGTGGCCGACGGTTCGTTCTTGTTTCAGACCCTGGACATCGCTGTCTCGCTGATGATGGGGCAGCAGTTTCTCATCAGCTGGTCTTAAGCGGGCTGGCCCTGGCGCTGCCCGCCATGCCACGTGGCACTGACTCGCGCTCCGTGTCCCCCTCCTGCGCTGGGGCTCGGTGCCAGCGGCGCCTCTGTCACAGCATTCGGTCAGGACCCCTGAGGGTCGCCTGGATTCCACGTTTTCCCGGGAGGCTGCTCTCCGTAGCCTGTCACACAAGGTCAGGCGCCGTCCGTGCCGCCCGCGACAGGGAAGGTGGTCTGTGGGAGGCGATGTGGTGCCTCACCCCGAAGCCACGCCCGGTGGCTCTGTGGCTGCTCTGACTGACAGCGGAGCTGGGTGGCCGCCGCGGACCGCTTTCTGGGAACTCGGGAGAATTCGCAGGACTCAGGAAACCTTCCACTTCAAGTGCAATTATTTGTAATAAAAGGGCATCTGCGGGTCCCTCTGGCATCCAGGGTACGAAGGGTGTGCCCAAGGGCCGTGACATGGAGGCGGAGGGTCCACCCGCCGTGGGCCCCTGGACGTTCCCAGGTGGCGGGGGCGGGGGCTGAACTGCGCGGGCTCAGAGCAGCCGCCCCGAGTCCCCAGCTGGGTGCACGTCCCAGCCGGCCTGTCCCCGCGCAGCCGCCGGTCTGCCTTGTCCAGCGTGGATCGGTCCCCGTTTCCTGGCACCGTATCTGAATGGACGCCTGCGGTGTGTGCCCGTGTGCGCCCACGACACTGTCCCTTCTCTCTGCCGGGGAGCCTGCCGCTGCGCACCGGCTGTGAGTGCGCACGAGCACCGTTTCCAGTTTGGGGCAGTTATGGACGAAGCCTCGATGGCCATCGTGGCAAGACTTTGAGTGGACGTGTTTCATTTCTCTCGTGAAAACACCAGGCTGGCGCGGACAGGTCCTGCGTGTGGGGTCACTTGTGCCCAGCAGGGTCACCCATAGGCCCCCGCCCCCGGGCCAGCGCAGTGTCTGCCAGCCTCCGCCTGCGAGTGAGCGCGGTCCCGCCGCGGTCCCGGTTGCCGCGCCCCCAGTGACTGACAGCGGGGAGCACCTTTGCGGGGCCTTACCTGACACCCATAATTTGGGGTGAGGCACCAGTTCAGATCTGCCCGCTGGTCCTCGGTGGTTCCCCTGATCGAGTCTCACAATAAAATGCACCGGTTTTCTGTCGCTGCCTTAGCAGTCACTACAAACACAGTAGCTTAAAGTGACACCAGTTTATTTTATCGCCGTTCTGTGGGGCGGGAGTTGGGCAGCGTCTCCGGGGGTCGAGGTTGGGATGGGGGGCTTCCTCCTTCCCCCGAGGCTACGCGTTGTGACTGCGGGTCCTTCTGCGGTTCTGGGCTCCGTGCACAGCTTCCCCGGCCTTTTCACTTTCAGAGCAGTGTTTTTTGAAGAGTGAAAGATTGCAATTTTCATGTGTCCAACATATATTTTTATGTCCCTTTAAAGGAATATTTGCCAAATCCCAAGTCACTGACTTCTGTTTCCTTCTAGGAAAGTTTTCTAATTTCAGGTCTTACATTCCCAGTGGGGTTCAGTATGTTACGAAATAGCGGCCGGTCGCGGTTCCTTTCCTGTTTCCGGCACACGGCCGTCCAGTTGTCCAGCCCCGTTTGTTAGAAATGTCCCCTGTGCCGTGGCCGCCCGAGCCGCTGGCGCCCGCCCCCTGCGCCCCTGCGTCTGCGGCTGGGCTTTCCATGCGTCCCAGGGCTGCCTTGTGCTGGCGCCCCGCTGTCTTTGCTGACGTGTTTCACATCAGGTAGTGAAAGTCCCCAACTTTGTTCGCTTCTTCAAGGTTGTTTCACTATGCTCGGTCCTTTGGATGTCCCTGTAAATTTTAGAAACAGCTTGTCAATTTTTACCAAAAGAAAAGGCTCCTGGTACTTTGACGAGGGCTGTGTCCAGCCTGTGGATGAACTCGGGGTGCACTGCTGTCTCAAAAAGAGCTCTTCCGTCCACTGGGACCCTCTCTCATTATCCACATCCTGAATTCCTCACGACGACGTTTGGTCGAGGGGAGCCCCAAGCGTTCCCCACGTTCGATGCTGTTGTAGGTGGGGTTCTTTAATTCCCCTTCCCGATGCTCAGGGCTTGCACGGAGGAATACGAGTGACCTTTGAACTTTGACCCCATGTACCCCCCCCCTTCTCTGAGCTCAATCATCATTCTGGGGCTTTGCTGTAGAGTCAGTCACCGGCGAGACTCCCCCGCAGCCCGTCCCCACCCCGGCCCCGGCGCCCCCGGCCCCGCCCCTCGCCTGTCTCGCAGGCCCTGGCCGGACCCGAGGGGCACCGGACCGGCGTGGTGAGGACGCTGACCTCCGAAAGCACGCGGTGGGCCTACTCCTGCGCACGTTCCCTTCAGCCTTCGCGTCCTGGGTCCCGTCTGGAAGCTGCTGGGTGCACAGACGTTGAGGATCCTGACGTCGTTTTGTTGTACGGGACGACCCTCAGCCCCCGCCCCCTGACAGTGGGTGCTCGTCTGCGTGGCCGCGCCAGGTTCCTGGTGACGGGCGCCGCACACGTGGCGCCGCCCCCCTCGCTCTTCTCCTTAAACTTACTTGCGCCGTCACGCAGGGTGGGGGAAGGCTTTCAGGGGTGGGCGCGCAGAACAGTTTACTCTTGTATTACAGTTTATTAGCTCCTGTGGCATTTCCCCTGCAGACGACGGTCGCCCTCTGCCCCGCCCTGCATTTCCTGCCGAAGCCTCCCTGCTTGTGCCGCGTCCGCATTCGGGACTCCGGGCGGCCGGGCGGCCGCTCCCGGCTGTCCGACCGGCGGGCATGCCCTTGCTCGTGGTTGTCTACTGCGGTCCTTTTTCTTCTGTAAGGGCGACAGGAACATCGCCTCTTGCTTTCCTGATTTTGGTCATTTTGAGTCTTTATTTTTTTCTTGGTCAATCTCACTTAAAATTTGCAAACACTGTTGATCTTTACAACCAAATTTGGGCTTTCTTCATTTCTTTCTATTATTCCATTTACTTCTACTCGAATCTGTCTCCTGCTGCCTGCTTTGGGTATATAGCTTCTTGCTTTTTCTAGTTTCTGAAGGCAGACAATCTACATTCAGTGTGACGACTGGTGTGGTTATTTTGAATCTACCATTTTGTTATTTCTTATTTGTCTCTCATCAGCTGTTTCCAGCTCTTTTGAGAAAATTTTTATTGACTGGTTTGAGAGGAACACCGATGCGTTGCTCTACTCATTGATACATCCATTGGTTGCGTCTTGCACGTGCCGACCGGGGATCGAACCCCCAACCTTGGCGTCGGGAGGACGCTCTAACCCAGAGCTACCTGGCCAGGGCCTCCAGCCCTTTCTGACAAGTACTGGTTCGGGTTCCCTTTTGTCTCTCGATGTTGGCTGTTCTGCTTCCTTAGAGGTTCCTTCAAGGTGTGTAACAGTCAGTCTTCCGTGACACACCTGGAATCGCCACGGGCCACCCGAAGTTAGTCGCCACGGCACCCGTGGCCCCGGAGCCCGGGCTGCCCTCCGCCAGCTTCTCCGACTTTGGGCGTCTTGTCATGCTGTCACACGCGTCACTAGTTTTGTGTGAGGCAGTCCCCGCAGCCCGAGCCCGTGTGCTCACGGGGACCCCAGGGTCTGTGGCTCGGGCCGGGGGCCGCTGGAGCCTTCGCCCGTGTGACTCTGAGGCGGCCGGCGAGGCCGCAGGGCCCTGGCAGAGCTGCCCCCTACAACACGGGTGATTTCCACACTGTTGTCATTTCACAGCTCTCCTGCAATGAACACGGGGTGTTTTAATCAAAGAATAACGTCTCTGAAAAGAGAACTAGTTGAAAGTGGACGACTTTCTAAGCCCAATTCTGTGCAGGGCCTGGTGGCCGGAGGGCAGACGCTGCCCAGAGTGCCCGCCTGTGTCGCTGGCGCATTTCCTGCTCCCAGGCTGACCTTCAGGGTCACGGTCACCAAACCTTTGCTCCCTGTCACATGCCATTGGAGTCACCAGTCAGCGGACGTTGGCATGATGGCCTCTGTCAACTGTGACCTGTCCCCACCACGGGGACACTGTGTGCTCCCTGGCAGTCCACTCGTCACCTCCTGTCCACGGGAGTGGGCTCAGGTGGCAGGCGCAGTGCCCCCTCTTGCTGCCACCTTCTTGGTTGGGGACGAGGGGACCACCGTGGCTAGAGCGGTGCTGCCACTCTCTGCTGCTGCTCAGTGACCGCCCAGAACACACGGTCCGAGTCCTGGATAATCCCTCGTTGGAAATTCGCAGAGGAAATGCCTTTCATAAACACCACGATGCCACGTGCTGAGAACTGCCTGGTGAGCTTTACAAATGCCCCCAAGCCCCCGGCCCCGCCAGTCCACACCGCGCTCATCCACCCTGCCCTGCAAGGCCAGCGCCCGCCCGCCGGTCCCACCCAGAAGCTCGGCAGACACAGCCAACGACCTGCCAGGACTGCCTGGCAAGCAACTGGAAAAGCTGGCGGCACCTTTAAGAATAACAGGAGTTCACGGGGAAAGTTTAAATGTTTAATGAAAAAGAGAGAAAGCACTATTTACAGTGAGTCAATGGCTGGGCACAACTCCACCGGGCCCTGCGAGGGCTGGACACAACCTCGCAGGGCCTGCGGGCCTCCTGACACAGAAGCTGCCCCTGCAGCTCCTGGCGCGGCCACCACAGGCCTAATTCATCGCTGGTGCCCAGGCAGACGCCTCAGATCAGGTCAGCAACTGAAAACCAGAAAACGCAAGATGAAAACGCGAGTGGAATGAAAGCCTTCCCAACAGACTTCCCCCAAACAAGCAGGACAAAACCCCAAGGGGGGAGCCCCCCGGCGCCCGCGACCCCGACCGGCCCGCACACCGTTCATGGGCATCTCGTCGATCTGCGTGGAGTAGTACTGCTCGATGTCCCGCAGGATGCGGATGTCGTCATTCTTCACAAAGTTGATGGCCACACCCTTTCGGCCATATCGCCCCGACCGGCCAATCCTTCGGAAGAAGCAGAACCGCTCGAGTGAACACAGCCCAAGGACCGCGGGGGCCCGCCCCCGGGAGGCCCGCGCCGCACCTGTGGATGTACAGCTCCCGGTTGTTGGGCAGGTCGTAGTTGATGATGAGGGACACCTGCGGCACGTCCAAGCCCCGGGCCCAGACGTCTGTGGAGATGAGCACCCGGCTGCGGAGAGAAACAGCCGTCGCGGTGGCCGCCCGGGCGTCACTCCGGGCCTGTGGCCAGCGGGAACGCGAGCGGCCGCCCTGGAAGGACCCCTGCAGAAAGGGCGTTCGGGCGGCAGCGCCCCTCGGGCCACGTGCGCCATCGAATAAACGACTCAGGTCCCTTGGACTGCGCCACGCGTGGTTTCCCCAGAGCCAAGCCCACGGCAACACTGGAAAGACACCGCGCTTCTGCAAATGCCCCATCGACACCTGACGAGGCCTCAGGCCGACCTCGTCCACCGCACGTTCAAAACAGACGGGACAGAGCAAGCAGGCAAGGGCGCGGGTGGCCTGAGAAACACCATCGGCAGCTGAAACCACCGGCCACGGCTGCCATCCCGCTCATGTGCACAGAGCACATGGACGAGGACCGTGCTGGGCAACGGCGAGGGCGCCACAGGACCGCGGCCGCACGAAGCGCGTTCCCTGACCACAGCAGAACAGAGCTGAAAGCCAACCGCAGAGCCACAGCCGGGAAGCCCCCTTCTGCGGGAGGCGCTGACCCACCGCGTGAGGACTCCGGTCACCCCGCCCACCCCACCCCACCCCAGCAGCAGGGCGCCCCCGAGCCCAGGGGAGCCGGCCCACGAGCAGAGGGCCGCCCACCTGGCGCCGGACCGGAACTCCTTCATGATGGACTCGCGCTCCTTCTGCGGCATGTCCCCGTGCATGGACGACACCGTGAAGTTGGCTTCTCTCATCTTCTCCGTCAGCCAGTCAACCTGCCACCCAAACCGGCAGGCGCCCCGTCAGCGCGTGCGCAGAGCCGGGGCTCAGGGTCACCGCGTGGGTAATGCAGGCACCCCGATGCTCAGGCCCCGCGTGACTGGGGGCGTGCGAGGCCAAGTCTGGCCCAGCACGTGGGGGGCAAAACCCCCTCAGTCTGCCCCCCTGGGAGCGAGCAGCCCCCTGGGCCACCGGAAACCCACGGCCCCGAGCCGGCCGTCCTGGGACAGGCACCGACGCT